TCAAAACTGGTACTACACGCTCCGCGCTGGGCAAAAACCACAGTGTACTACATGAATGCATAGTTTTTTCAAAACTTTAAGGTTCATGTAATGTTTCTACTTGGAATCAAGGTACTACACGCTGTTTTCCCACATTTTTTGAGTGTAGTACTCGTGCACAGGTCTGCTACACGCGCTTTCTCAAGGGTTATACGGTTTACCAGTCTTTCAAATACTCAAGTAAGGCCTCACAGTCCCCTTCAAGGGCTCCAAAACCTCATCAGGACCTCCCAGAGCCTTTTTCCAACTTTTGCGGGCTGCCCGTTGGAAAAATTGCTGAAAATCGTGGCATCGCGCGGGTCCACATTCAGGACCGACAAACGACGAGAAACATAGGACGCATCAGAGTACCCCCCCAGTGGCAACCTGAATGGCGCCCTGAATAAGTACAGGCCCACCACCGACCGCTTGCCACGCAGCGGTGCATTTTTATTGTCTTATGTCGGGAGCGGTCCTTACGTCGGGCAAAATTTTGGCAAGCTTCAAAAGTGTGTCTTCTCATCAGAAATCGCACAGTTTTTGGCCCTTATTTTGAGGCCAGAAATTGGGTCCCAAAACTGGGTCTGCTTGATTCGAAACTCTTAGAAAAGATCCCATTTCGGGCTTCGCTTTGGGGCCCAAAAATGGGACCCTAGAATGGGCCGTAAAACATGGCAAGTGTGCTTTCAATTTTGCGGAGACACGCAAAGCATGCACCACATGTTTGGGTCGGGCGCAAAGATAGTCAGCGGTCGCTTAAGACTGTTGGCAATAGCGTTATAACGGAACAAGTATTGCACATAACAAGCTGAATTGCAACTGCGGGGGCACTTAAACGTGTCCTACGCTTCTTGTGTCTTTTTGGGGTCTGATTTGGCTTCACTCAAGGCACATTCTCCAAACCCCAGGCAAAGGGCCTACCTTGTCCCAAATCAATAAAATGTTGTTGAAAATCCCCTTTCCCCCATGGCAATGTTGCAACACGTTGGTTGTGTCAGACCGACCTTCAAGTCCGACCTTCAGCGTCCAACATTGCCATTGGGGGCTCGGGGGCACACGCAAGGGCTTATGACCGGAGACAAGCATCCTTTTCCAGGCTCTTCAGGCTCCAAGCCCTTGCAATTTCAAGGTGGCTCTCATGCATGTAACACTGCAGCAACCTGCAGACCCTGCAGACCTGCAGCAAGCATGCGGACTCTGCAGCAAGCCTGCAAGCCCTGCAGCCTGCAGCAAGCCTGCAGACCCCTGCAGCAAGCCTACAGCTGCAGGGTTTGTAGGCCCCTTAACAAACCTGCAGTCTGCACTGCAGACCCTGCAGCAGCAGGGCCAGCAGGGCCCCTACAAACCCTACAGCAAGCCTGCAAAACCTGTGGCTGCCTCTCCCCCAGCCCTGAATGGCTTCCAGTCCTCAATTACTTGGATTTTTCTGCTTTCACACGGATTGGTCCATGATATCCTTTCGTATCAACAAGATGCAATCGCTGGGGCTGCAAGAACGTGGAAACGCAGGGCACTGGCTGGTTGGAGAAGCCATGCAGCGAAGTTGCCTTCTTTGGCTTTTACAAAGCAATGGCTGTTGGGGCAAAACAACTGTGCAATAGCCTATCGTAGGTCCAAAAAGCTGGTCTTTGCGACTACCGACTTTAACGAGAGCGAAAGATGAAGCAGATGAGCTTACTTGCTGGCGAATGCGACTGGTCAAGGTGCTTAAGAATTGTCGTATGCCGGATCAGGCACTTTTTGCTGTAGATTCGGACAGGGTGTTGCAGTCTACTGCTGGTTGTGTTCGAGCTTCCACGCTGCGTTCGAGGATTGGGAAGTGGTGCAAGTTTTCGCTCTGGTGCCTGGCACTTCATGACAAGCATTTCCCTGCACACATGGGGATCATGGGGGTTCTCGTTGATCACATTGAGAAGCAGCTACGCGATGAGCCTTGCAGCAGAACATGCACTTGCGATGGCTCAAGCGGAGCAACTGCAGACGCCACGCGAGTGGGCATTATGAAGGGGCCACGTCTTTCTCAGTCAGCAATCCATCGACTTGCAACGCCTTTCGACTCCTGAGGTCTCACAGGAACAAGGCCCCGAGCGTGAGTCCCGCTTTTTCATTTAAGTGCTAGGGAAACGGAAGCTTCGCAGGTTGCACCGATCCGGGGCTTGTTGCATCCTTATCTTTAAAGAACCCAGGACAGCCTCCACTGCCAGGAATGTTGTCACTCTGCTGAACCAATCGATGTTGCGTTCCAAGACGTGACTCGGCTCTGTTCTTCTCATTCACCTCGAGATGCAATTTCGAGGCCTCCCAGGCCGAAATCAGCCGTGCTATTTCGAAACGGTTGGCCAGAGAAGCTTGCACGTCAAGAGGGAGCTCACTTGCGAGCGCCGCGCGGACTCGCTCGCGAGATTCATTCAGACCTGCAAACAGAGATGCCAAGCGCGTGACCTCAGCCTGGGCCAGCTGAAAACGCAGATCGGTGCTCAAAGTTGCAAGATGCGTCTTCTGATCCGCTGTCAAAGCTCCCATGATTGAACTATCAAAGCCTTGAACAAAAGATTCTGAGACAGACCCAACTGGCCCATCTCACCCAATTCCTGCACCAGAACTCTGGCGCGACCGGGAGCCGCGGCAACCGTTCAAAACTCATGCCCTGACACGTCACGTTTCAGCATGAACCAACTGCAGATTACAAGCCCAGGAATGAAACGATCCACATGAAGAGGACACGAAGCCGTATTGAAATTTCTCTGCAGCACGCTGAAGTGTTCGCACACATCATGTTCAGCTTCCCTCCGAGCTAGATTCTTTCGGAAGAAGAAATAGAGGGGCTATCCTCATCAGCGCCAGACTCCTCTTCGTGAAGCCTCCTGTTTCCGACGCTCCGGTCGAAAACAATGCTTGCATTCCACATCATACGGCACACCCTCAAGCACGTCATAAAACTTATAACAGGCTACACGTTCGGGCCGAGAGTTCCTTCGCGATCGTTCTTGGCGACCAAGCTTGAACAGATCGAGGCCAATCAACCGGCGGTGGAGTGTCTCACTGAGGTGGCCTTGTTGGAGGATTCCGAGCTTGAAATGTATTCAGCGGTGATGAACCCTGCCACCTTGAAGATCAAAACTGGCAAGACGTTGACTTCAACTCCGCAGTCTTCCGAGGAGTTGCGTCTTCCACCGCAGGATCGGACTTGCCTGGGACATGCTCGCGACTAAACATTCCAGTCGCAATTGGCTTTCAAAGACAGCAGGTCGCCGGCCTTATGGCAGGTGATGGTTGACGCCCTACTTGGAACTTGTTTTGCAATTTGAGCCGGACCTGGAGGCGGCTTTCAAGAGGGCCACTACGGATACGGAAGTCTTGCAGCGTTACTTGGTCATTCCCTTCTCCTTGAATATCACGGCTGCCTCGGTTGTGCAAGTGGACTCTCCTCCTACGGGGGCGAGGCCGTGGGCGTGGCCGTAGTGGGGTCAGGACTCAGCCTAAGGATTCACAGCAGACCAAGGGCAAAGCTCTTCGCACTCCGGATGGCCAGCCACCCTCTTTGCTGGCGGTACAATCGCCAGGGTGGGTGCAATGATGCCAATTGTCGCTTTGTCCATGCCTGCCAGAGGTGCTTTGGAAAACACCGGTATTATCAATGCAGTCAGGTCAAGCGCGATACCGTTTCCCGCTGACTTTCGGCCGACGCTTCGGCAGCGCCGTCCTCAAGAAAGCCAAGCAAGGGGGTGAACATGACCGCAAGATTTGGGCAGAGGGCCCCGGTAGCAACCATTGCGATCCAATTGAGGCCACCCTCGAAAACCCAGGGTGCCCAGGTTCGACCAGGTGCCTGCAAGCCGTGTAGGCTTGGCATAAGGCGCCCCAAAGGCGCATTGATGAAAAACGACAGACGCGACAGCATTCTGTTCGAAGAACTTACGCGAATGAGCCCAAGTCCAGACTGAGGCAGGCGTGCCTCGGGGTGTGGTGCCGAGAAATTCTGGATGCTCAAGCAACCAAGAAATTCCAACTTCTGGCCACGGCAGCCAAGTCGAGGCCGCGCTGCAGCAACTCCGTTCCCGCCTGCCTTGTCCTTGAGGCGGCCAGTGAGCCACGGAAAGCCTTCCGGCCAGTCTGCATTGCGAAGAGGTACGAACCCTGGTGAATTCGAAAAAGAAGCCCTGTTGTAGGTGTTGCAGAACGGGCTCAAAAGAATCAAGTCAAACTGTTCGAAGCGGACCTGTTCAAGAATGTTCTCCCAGAACTCGTCGTGCAAGACATTGTGTGACGCATTGCGAGCAACATCAATTTCCACTAAGTGGAAACTGCAGCCGGACGATTCTTTTTCCAACCAGCTGCGAATATCCCCTTTGCGTGGTTCACCAGCAAAGAGGTAGAGCACACTGAGATCAGCACGCCCTGGTGCGTTGCTCCGGAAATTTGTCAGTGTTGGAGCGAATGCCAGCCAGACCCCCTCCTCTTGAAAAAGCCCCCACCGTGAAGGACTTCGAGTCAGGGCCAAGCTCGCCCCTCGCCGGGGGATCTCCCGGAAGGAGCTCGAAGAGTTGTACGATCTCTCCCCTGGTGGGAATCAACAGCGAAGCAGCTGCTTTTTCAACATCAGACAAGAAAGCGCAAGCGTTAGCATTCTCCGTGGTATCCAGGGACCGAAGAGAAAACCCCCCCACCGAGGACCTGGAAGGATCAACCACTTGCCAAGCCGGCAACGCCAGAGCGCGGCACAGGCCGGAAGGATAAGCAGCTGTAGGCGCAGTCGCAAATTCACCAAGATGCTTTGTCGTTTCATCGATGCACTGCAGCCGGACTTCGAATACACTGCAGCGGCCATTTTTCGCAATCTCCGGACGTCTCCACACAAGGACACCGGCAACTTGGAGGGCTCTTATAATCTTGTGATTGGCCTTTCGAGTTTTTCTGGTGGCGAGGTGTGGGTTGCTTCGGGGTCGGGTTCGGTTGCTTGTCCTTTCGAGGGTTTTTCTGTGATGGGGGATCTGCTTGAAGTTGCCTCCTCTTTCTCGATTTTCCACCCCAGAGATCTGCACTGCACAGCGAAGTGGAAGGGGACGAGGGTCGTCCTTGTGGCATACACGCCATTTCTTGGCGAGGCACTGACAGAGGATCACCGTCGGCGCTTGGCTGCTGTGGGGTTTACGCTTCCGGGATTTGTTGGGACTGACAATGCACCGCCACGAAACTTGGGCGCGAACGATAATGCTGTGGGTACCGCTGAATGGTGGCGGTCTTTGCCGGGCGAAGAAGCTGATCACCTTGAGGTTCAAGGAGGCGACGTGGGGGGTGACACTTGTGACGACCCTACGTCTGATGAGGACGAAGATGGTGTGAGAAAGCCACTCTATGGGCATGGCTGTCTGGGTCAGGGGCCTCCGCTGCGGACTCGACTTTCAGGCCGAGTGCGTTGGTTCTCAGATGGACACGGACTGGCTTCACCAGGGCGCTGGCCTCCCCCGAAGAGGCCCACTCCTGCGTCACATGGCTGTCTTTCGCTTCACAAAGAAATCATGGACGGTCTCCTGGCTTTACTGTCGCGTTCACTGGGCATCAAGAAGGTCGTCTGTGCCTTGGCCACGGGGAGGATGACATCTTCCCCCTTTGCATCGGGACTGATCGATTCTGGGAGGACGCTGGTTTTTGATAAGCTTCGGCAGGCAGGGGTCACCGCACAGATCTCTGAAGTTCCGGACCGTCAGCCATTTTTCCTTTGTGCCATTGGTGAACTGCTGCGACTCGCTGGCGACCCAGACTGGAGGCGGTATACCGAGGCGACGTGGTCCTTTGCTGCGGGGGTCCCTCTTGGGGTCGGAGTCCGACTTCCCCGGACTCCGGCTCTGTTTGAACGCAAGCATAAACATCGTGCTTTTCCGGGGGTCGATGAGCCGCTGCCCGACTTGCCGAGGGAGAATTACCCCTCTGCACAGGAGCATGCTGAACGGGTTGATTTTCAGTTTCAGAAGGAGATCTCTTGTGGTGCAATGGTCGAGATGGACTTGGCCGAGGCGCAGGAAGAATTCGGCGAGGCCCTGAGTATTGCTTCGCTTGGTGCGCTTCTCAAGCCGGATGATTCTGTTCGAGTCTTGCACGACGGAACGCATGGTGTGCACTTAAACGACTCGATCAAAGTACGGGACGCACAATCGTATCCTACTGGGGGCGATCTCTCGGTGGCACTTGAAGAACTGCCGGCCGCATACTTTTCTCTTTCGGGAGATATCTCTCGTGCACATCGTTTAGTAAAGGTGAGGCGGGCCGATTGGGCCAGACAGGCCTGTCGGGCATCACGTCATGACAAAGTGTACCTCAACGCTGTTGGAACCTTTGGCGTCTCATCTGCGAGCTACTGGTGGTATCGCTTGTTTTCTGGGTTGGGACGTTTGCTGTACTACTGCCATGGGGTGGATGAGACGACGCTCCTATCTTACGTGGACGACTTACTGTGGATTACCCAGTCTTCGGATGGCTTGGCGCGCATCCTGGCATCGATCCTTTTACTTGAGATTCTCGGCGTGCCTTGGGCTTGGCATAAGTTCAAAGGGGGAACGGAGCATTGCTGGATTGGATTTTCGATCTTTGCGCGCAAGAGGCTTCTGGGCTTTTCCCAGGCCCGGTGTGACTGGGCAGTGAATTGGATACAACGTGTCAGGGCTGATGGCTTCGTTAAGATTGCGGACTTGGAGGCGGTCATAGGACGCCTTTCATTTGGCTTCACTGTTTTACCACTATTGCGCCCTTTTCTGGGGCCGCTCTATGCGTGGGTGAGTGCAGTGAGACATTGCCATACTTTGCGGCTCCCGAAAGCTGTAGCTATGATTTTGGCGTTCATCGAGAAGGTGCTTCTCCAAGGGTTCCGTACAATGACTGTGCCTCGGGCCAAATCTGCCCCTCAGGAACTCTTTCGCACGGATGCAAAGGCAGAGGGCTCGGAGATTTTGTCGACGTTGGTTGCTGTCCATTTGTTTGCACCTTTGCAGCCGACGAGCGCGACTTTTACCTGCTCTGCCGCGACAGACAATCGCGGCAACAGTTTCTTGACATCACGGTGGCTCACTACTTCCTTTCCTTTATGCGTGGTGCTCATGGATTTGGCGGCAGTTCTTCAGTCCAAGTCACTCATGCTGGATTTGCACTGGGCCCCTAGATTTCAGAACACTTTGGCAGACTCTCTTACGAATCAGGACTTTAAAGATTTCGACCCGTCCAAAAGGGTTCGCTTCGATGTATCTCAATACCGTGGTTTGGTGCTGCGTGAACTTCTAGAGTCTGGCGCCGAACTTTACACTGAGCTTGCATCTTGGAAGAAGCGAAAGGGTGGCATTTTGCCACAGAAGAAATCAAAGGCTGTGAAGCTGGCTGCAACCGACCCGTGGAAATGATGTGCGTTGCTGCTCGTCATTCTTGCGAAAGGGGGGGCGTGTTCAGGTTGCGAGCTGCAACTTGTTTGTATGTGGCGGTATGTCACGTACAGCTGCTCCCTTCTCACACAACTGCACGTTTTGTGATTCGCGGCAAAAATGGTCGGTGCGTGTGCCTTTGCTTGTCACGGACAGTCATGACAGTCATGTCCTTGGCACGTTCTGTTGGGTCGGCTTTTGGTTCTTTCTTGGCTTTCTTGTAGCGCGTTGAGTTCTCTTGGGAAAACTCCTGCCATTGAGTTTTACCTGTTGGGACACACAACCTAGAAACACGCAGAGTGGACTTGTCCAGCGGAGTGTGTTTCATGTTGTGTGTATTCTTGATTTTGGGTGCATTTATTCCAAAATCACGTTTTATGGGTCTTTGCATAAACAAGGGTGGTGGTTTTGCTTAATGCACCACCTAAAATGATTGAAGATTGCGGGGGGTCCGCGCATGTTCAAGCTGGTTTTGCTTAATGCACCACCTAAAATGCTTGAAGATTGCGGGGGGTCCGCGCATGTTCAAGCTTGCTGGCAGCAGAGAAAATTTTGTTGCCCACCCACCCATCCCTGGGGCGTGTTCAGGTTGCGAGCTGCAACTTGTTTGTATGTGGCGGTATGTCACGTACAGCTGCTCCCTTCTCACACAACTGCACGTTTTGTGATTCGCGGCAAAAATGGTCGGTGCGTGTGCCTTTGCTTGTCACGGACAGTCATGACAGTCATGTCCTTGGCACGTTCTGTTGGGTCGGCTTTTGGCTTTCTTGCAGCGCGTTGAGTTCTCTTGGGAAAACTCCTGCCATTGAGTTTTACCTGTTGGGACACACAACCTAGAAACACGACTTTCCTCTCAAACAAGCTAGGGGCCCTAAAACGCTACTTCATGGCCATCACCACGGCCTGCTCCACTGGCCCCACCTTTAGCGTCTGCGTTTTTGTTACCTGCCGGGCCTCCGGCTTCCTGTTCAATAGCGAGGCAGGTTTTGCCCGAGCCACCTCCTCCTTCACTCGCGGGTTAGGACCGCTGGTCTTTCTGGCGCCGTACTATCCTGATGGCATTGGCGCGTGCTTTCAAATGGCGGCCTGTTCCACCGGAGGGCTGATTGAGTGCTCTGAGTACCTGCGTACACAGGCCAGCCTATGGAGCCTTGATGGCCCCGGCATTGCGAAGGAGTCGAATAAACAGGCCTTTCGGGAGCAAAGGGTGGCGAGCATCGTGTTACCTACGGATCGCAGGGTCGGGCTGGATCTTTTTGGAACGCCGCCCCTTGATCAGGCGTGGGCGCTGAAGGCTACCTGGGGCGAGGAGCACGAGGTCTTGTACCGCGCGCTCAAGTCTGAAGGCTGGGGACGTCCCCGCTTCTACACATCCAACTCCTAGGCCAGCTTGCGGGCGCGTGGATTTGTTCTGGAACCACTGCCCAATGCGGTTTACTGCGTCCCTTTTCAATCCGCGCGTGAGTGTGACGGCGTTGCTAAGTATCTTACCCACCTGCTGGGGGATACCAAAATCCTGACGCCGCCCAGGAAGGGGCCTGCCCCTCGAGTGGATCCGTCCTTTGAGCACAAAGCGGGCATACAGCAAGCTCCACAAGGCCTTCGCCGTGCGGGCTGACCAACTCAATTCTGAATCGGCCATCGAAGTGGACTCTCCGGGAAACAGCCCTGTGCCCGCGGGAAGTGCCAGTACAAGTATGGCGGCAGTGCCGAAAGCTGATGTCCCTGCGCAGCATAGCCGTACGGATCTTGGCGAGCCTGGTGTTGGTACGCTAAGGGCGTACACCGTGGCTCAAGCCTGGCCCTAAGGCTGCTCGTGGCTCGGTAGCTGCTGCCGTCAGTCCACCGCCGCGCCCACGCAGGGAGGCGTCGCGCACTCCGTGTGGCACGCCGAGACAGGCCAAGGAGCTGCGTCTGGAGGCGGCTAACGCACAGGAGGCCGCTGCCAGCCCTCAGGCTGCACCTAGTGCTCGGGCTGCGGAGGATCAGCTGGCTTATCCTCCCCAGGGTCATGACCGGCCGATCGGAGGAGCAACCCCAAAACCAGATACTCCGCGGCAAAGCGGCGATCTGTCGCTTGGGGAGACGCACAAACTCCCGTCCGCCCCCCTCCTGGCCCCAAAGCTCGACCCTTGCGAACAGCTTCTTCCGAGCGGGGCGGGGCCAGAGATGCATCGAGATCACCCTGTGCCAAGCCTCCCAGTGAGAACTTATGACCTCCCTACGCCCCCCCCCGGCCTGACCCAGCTGGCCGCGCAGCGTCGTCTACCGGCCTCCCCTGGCCGCAAAGAAAGTCGGCCCCTTGTCCATGACAATACCGGCTCCCAGGAGCCGCCCAGGTCCAAGCCAAGGGGGCCTGGCGAGCCAAGCAGCGCCCGTGATCGAAGGACTCCGAGCAATGAGTCTCCTTCCCATGGAAGTGAAAATTCTGTTTGCGGGCTCATGTGGCGTGCGCTCGAGGCGGGGCACCATGTTGGAAGGAGCCCTACATGTGCTTGCGTGATTCGATTCATCTGACGACGCGTGGGCAACAACTTCGAGCGTATAGGACCTATGAAGAGTTGCTGCTGCGCCTGCCACACCAGCTCCAGGAACCGGACACCTTATTGGGCATTGCAGACACCCTCCTCCATCTGCCTGAGACCTTCCCGGCAGCCTACCTGAAAATCTATGACCCCATCATCACGCAGTGCTTGCGACTCTCAGGGGCGCTACAGCACATTGATCTGGCGGACATACTATCATGCCAAATACCACAGCTGGATAAAACCAGGCTGTCGGATTCTTTGGTCGGGTACGGGTTTCTGACTACTGCCCAGTACATCGCTGATCTCTTCTTTGCTGTCGCAGATGTGCCAGGGGTCAGCAATGCCAGTTTTCCGGCCATGTTGTGTTACTCCGACCCAGACTACTGGTTGGGGGCGCTTTTGCTAGCCTTTGAGTCTCACCAGAAGGGTCCCTTGGGACGAGCAGCCGGGCTGCCTGTAGTCTTGGGCTTCCCTGAGACGAACAATCGCATTACAGACCTACAGGTCAATGTGCCTCCTGCAGCCATGGTGGCCTTTCTCGCTGGTCGTGCCTATCAGCTGCCCACGTGCCCTGCAACCAAATATGCGGTGGACCCCCAAGGACTCCCCCAAGTCCACGGACAGGTATCGCAGGAGGCCCTGAAGGCCTGGGCGGAGGCTGCCAAGCACACGAATCTGGAAACCGCCAGGTTGGCACAGCAACCTGGCTTTAATGCGTTTGTCCGGATTTCGCTTCAAGGCTCGCAAACACTGGGGCACCGCCAGTATCAAGAATTTAGGCCAAGTGTACCACCAGTTCACTTCCTTGATGCCATTCGGCAGGCCCTCGCTGCCTCCGTTGCAAACCAGGACATTGAACACTTCTGGTCCGTCTACAATTTGGAGTGGCCTGACACAACCGCAAGGGTTGCGGTTTTCCTCCGGCGCGTGCTGCCTTTGGAGAGCCTCCTTGCGCCGCCTACAATCTTGGAGCCCTCTGCGGCTACGACACAGGCCCCCTCGGAGGTGTGTTGCATCTCTTCTGACACTGAGGAGGCTTCGCCTGCACCTATTGCAGAGACACCTGAGGCGGCAGACGAGTTCGAAGCTCAGGTGCATGATTGGCGTTTTTCGGAGCTGCGTACCACTGACCTTGCGGCCTTGCGAGAAGTGGATGTTTCTACCCCTTTTCGATGACCAGCCCTCCAGGATGAGCATTGGCAGGGACTTAGTACAACGCCGAACAGACATGGGCCCCAACGCGCCCGGCCTGCTTGGTATGATGCTGCCACCGCCCATTGGGCAGCCCTTGCATAGCATAGCAGTGACGTGGCGCGGGGCTAAGCCGAGAACCCCATGTTTTGTTTTGTTTTGGGCATGATTCATATGCTTCCACGCGAGTTTGCCCGGCTTAAACAAGCGGGGGGGTTTGGGGGGGCGCAGCCCCCCCCATTTGCAAACACGATGCTCGCATTAGGCCTCTTCAACTGCTGCCTAAATCCTCCACCGAAGGCCCAGCAGGTATTAAGCCTCTTGGACGTCTTAAACTGCTGCCCGAACCCTCCACAAAAGGCCCAGCGAGTATTCGGCCTTTTAAACTGCTGCCTAAATCCTCCACAGAAGGCCCAGCAAGTATGACGCTTTTTACACTGCTGCCCAAACCCTCCACAAAAGGCCCAGCAAGTATCAGGCCTCTTAAACTGCTGCCTAAACCCTCCGCAGAAGGCCCAGCAAGTATTACGCCTTTTAAACTGCTGCCCAAACCCTCCAAAAAAGGCCCAGCAAGTATTAGGCCTCTTAAACTGCTGCCTAAACCCTCCGCAGAAGGCCCAGCAAGTATTACGCCTCTTAAATTGTTGCCCAAAGGCCCAGCAAGTATTAGGCCTCTTAAACGGCTGCCTAAACCCTCCACAGAGGGGGGGGGCTTGGTTGCGGCTTCACGGGGGAGCTTTAGGGGGGGGGGGGCTTAAAGGGGGGCTTAGAGGGGGGCTTAGAGGGGGGCTTAGAGGGGGGCTTAAGCCCCCCTTTGCCCAAAGGGGGGGGGCCCATTCTCAGTGTGGCCTTCTGTATTTACTGTCCTGTTTGCTCCCATCGGGTCATCCGCCCGTGCATGTCACGTTTCGGGCTTTCGCTGGCGAAGGGGTTCTCTTCTCCGCTCTTTTTTCTTGTTGCAGGAACGCCAGTACATATCCGTGCACATTGATCATGTGCCTGGCTTCAAGAATGACCTCGCTCATGCACTGAGTCGCGCATCCCACCTTGATTGGTTTTTCTTCCGATCAGCTGTTTTTGAGCTTGACATGTCAAGATACTTGGCGTGTGCTTGAAAAATGCTGTCCTCTGTCACCCTGTCGGATCAAGCATCCGCCTGAAGATCAGCGTACTCCGGTCCAGCATATTTCATTTTTCCGGCACCTTCAGTGCTCTCGGTTTCAGCTGGTTCGCTTTCTTCGCATTCCCTTTATAGTTTTCATTCGTGACGGACCAGTGTTTGCTGTGAACGTGGATGAAGGTGAATCATACTGCCTGTCCATTCGACTTTGAAGCTCCCACCGCCGTCTCCCATCCGACCGTCCTTTCTATCTTCCTTGCCGCATTCCTGTACTCGCTGTGGCCTTTTGTGGCGGTTTCTAACCGTTCAAAAAATCGGTTTAGATTCCGTCTCTAAAGTGCTCCACGCCTTGCCTCTAGGACACGCCTAGGTAGCCTACCTTTGCTTATGCTGGAGCCGGTGCTCTCGGTTTCAGCTGATCTAGATCTGCTTCCCGCCAATGTGAAAAAGTGTGCGCGTCGCTTTCTTCGCATGTCCTTAATAGTGTGCATTCGTAACGGACTGGTGTTTGCTGTGAACAAAAAGAATCACGACACACCTTCATTCAACAGCCATTGGTTCAGCGGCCCTGACCATCTAAGGCCCCTTGAGCTTTCTTTCGCTCACCCTCCCACACCAAGTTTTGCCTGCCTTCGAGTGGAGCCCGGCCTCCAATGCATTAGTTGCCCTAAGGTTGTCTGTGATTGCACGTTCCCTCTTCTTCCTACAGCACTTGATGTGTGCTATCTGCATTCGTGCAGCTCTTTCCCAAGTTGCCTGTGTGGAGATGCACAGTAACAAGCAGCTTGTGCGTCGCACAAAACGGCAGCTCAGCGATGGACTTTTGGTTCCACCACGTACTCCCCTGCGGTGGACGTTTGAGTCCGTTCAAAGATGTTCGAAGTGATCTCATTCGATTTGTAGATCGTGAGGTGTGTCTTTTGCGGTCTGAAATTCTTGTCGAAACTGACGGCAATGTTCCCGACGTCGTGGTTGCTGAGGACTTGAAATTAACAACGTACCTGAGAGGCTCTGCTCTGTGTTGCCGGAGTGTGGCAAAGCGCGGGCTTTAAAGTAACAGAAAACCAAGATAATTTCAAAAATCATCTTCTCCGCGCCGTATTGGTACCCACCCTCCTCTACCCCTTTGTATAGTCGACCTCTTCTGCCTGTACTCCTATGATATGAGTCTAAGCAGCAGGAAATTGACATCACAAAAGACACGTCTCACGACCAACAGATCGAATGATATTACCTCGACTGGATTCAAACATCCACCACAGAGGAGTGCATGCTGGAACCAAGAATTCTTTTTCGTTTTGATTTTCAGCCGGCAGGTGCACAGAAGCTGAAAAATAGTTGCCCCGTGAAACATGTGTGTTTGAACCGCAAATGCCCTATCATAGTCGATTTTCAAGTTTGGCACTGTCAAAGTTCACGTATATCGTATGGATTGTTGCAGGTTAGGGGGTCTGACGGCTTCTGTAATTTGGAAATCAGGATGAGGCGTGTTCACAGATTTGGTTTGCGATTTGTTCAAGCTTGTACATTTTTCGAGCGAGCCTGGTGCTGCCAAGGTTGGTGTTTGATTTGCGCGACGTTTGGCCATTCGGTGTTTCTGTACATTGTGAGGACCAAAAGATCACTTGTTCCTGCCCCCGAAAAAGGTTTGGTGATGTCAGCAGCTTTTCTAGCTTTCACTGGCCCATGAATTCATGGCAACATCGCAACATCTCAAGCACATAGGCGACCAGTTGAGCCAATGGAGCCGTTTGCCACTTTGCCTCCTCACTTTGCCGACGACCGAGTGGGGTACGTGCGCCGGCTGTTTTGCTTGGCCCATCAGAAACATGTGTCAACCAAGGATAAATCTGACCCTTTCGGCCAGAAAAAGGCCCAAAGACTTTGTTTTTCTGAGTGATTGCCGCATTGCCTTTGTTGCCAGTCGACGCTCTTTGCCGGAACTTTCCGGCCTCAGCGCAGCCGTTCTGCTTTACACTCGGAAGCCGGAAGTGCAGTTGAAATCAGGGATGCTGTTTCCAACACTTGGAAGAGCTGTCTTTTCCTGTGAGATGTGAGCATGAGGCCAAGCTAGCCGCCCAAAGCTCGTTGTTCGGTGCTCAAATGAGTTCAAAATGGGCAAGCGTTGCTTTTGCGATGAGCGCGTTGGGCAGCAGCCTTTCTGAACACCAACACTTTTTCCGCTGCAGGAAGACTGGGCCGGTGACAGCTGCCAGCGAGGTGGGTGACACCGCACCAAAGGAGTATCAAAAAGTTTACTTGCAAGTGTCATGCTGTCAATACGCTTCAATAATTTGCAAGATGTGACCCAGGCGGCCCCAGTCACCAATGGTGCCAGCCTGCAGCACAGACATCAGCTTTCACGTTCCACATGCAGATGGTGCTGCGCTAGCACATGCTAACATATCATCACTTCACTGACAATGTCTAGAGCCTATGGCATGGGATGTTGACGTCATTCGTCCCAAAGGCAGACCTGTGACTGGCAGTGTTGGAAGCCAGATGCCAAGATTCGCCTGCACGGGTTTGGATTTACCACGGTTCCCGTATGCCGCTTCAGGCCGGCCTGATACCGGGTCAAACTTGGACGACATGTGGGACACATGGGTTGCAAACTCGTTCATCTTGTACACACACACACACACGTCTACATCTACATGGACGGTTGATGGCAAGACGCTTGCTGGCAAAATGGGGGCAAAGGACCTGCTAGCGCCGTTTTCGTTGCGAGACCACGTGGGCAACTTGCTACAGCAGTGGGGCTCTCGGCTTTCGTTGTGCTGTACTATGCTGTACTGTCACGTTCCTGAGTCGGCTGTGCATCGAAGGCCGTTGCCCACACGAGGGGAAGGGATCAAGGACTATGCCAGGGAGTGCTCCATCGGCCCGCTTCCTGTGAGCCCCCTAGGCTTTCATATTCATATACCTGAATGCTCCATGTGACTTGCGGATACTCGTGGCAAGGTGCCGCCAACCCACTTAAGGGAGACTCCGTCAGAAATGCACGGTGCACCGGAGAGATGCCGTGGTTGTTCAATCGCCTAAGCAGCATCAATGAACTTGTTCGACAAATGGAAGGCGCTTTTGCCTACACGGAGCAGCTCCGCAAGGGAGTGTTGGCTCAGCAGGCCAGTTCATTGGCCTGTCCCGTGTTGCTGTCCAACATGCATGGAGACGTTTGATGAGGCTTCAGAGCAATGGCGTGGTTTCCCAAAAAATGACCAGACAGATTTCAATGAAGCACGAGTAAACACCTCAGCTGGGTCATCAGGCTTAAGCCTTCGAATCAGCGACCAGTGAAGGTGATCCGTTGTTGCAGGTACATATGGGACATATGATGCGCAAGTGACAGCGGCCAGTCGGGTCACCAGTTTACGCAGACACGACACGGCAAGACAATCATTGACATGGGACAAGTTGTACTTAGTGGAGACTTAAAGAATCAGGTCAGAACGAGTCAATTCGGTTTCACACGATCTGATTCACTGTCAGCTTTGCAAAGCATGCTGATGCAGAGTGCCGAACCGCGCCCTCCAGATACAAGATGTTGCACGCCTTCGAGAAGAACTGCGTAGTTTTTGGTGTAGCGGCACTGATAATAATAGCGTGAGGCTTTTTTTTAAGGCTTTTTTTTATTGATTTGCTAGCTAGCTCATAAAGTCGTGCTTTGTAGTCGTGTTCGGAAACTCGAGACCTCACACAACCGCACACCTGAATGCCTTGTCTTGGCTACTCGCTGCAGCTTTTGCCCACAGGTGCAATGGTGTTAAGATGTGCTAAGCAGGGTTGCCAAGCCACTTGCATGTCGCTGACAAACACATGTGTTTGTGCACAACAAGTTGTTCGAGTTGGGCACGCGATGGAGCATGCGTTCTTTCAGCGCTGTCGGGTCATAATAGCAGTTAGCAAAGGATCTGCAAGACATCGATCATGCCCGAGTCGTGGTCTAATGCCATGGACGGGCTTGGGGAGGCTGCTTCGGTCTTTTTTGATTGCTTCTCCACGTCAAGATAGCTCTTGGGACAATGCATGTGGCGCACACGCTTAAGCAGGTGGAGGGCCTCCCCGAGGTGGAGACCGTGCAGCAGTTTAGGCGAGTATGCAAAAGTATCACCTTCTGGCGATGATCTCACTCGTCTGCAGGCTCATCTCTGCAGACATTCCGTTGAAAATCGACAGGGATGCCCTGGCACTGGACATGCAGAAGGATGCAAGTCTTAAATTATCGCTTGCTCTATCCTGCTCCCATGTACTTTCAGGGTAAGCGTGATGAGTTGAGGACGAACACTTGCCATCCCTAGTGTATGCAGAGGACCTGCTGTCAGGCACTGATGTGTAAATTGTTTCTCTAGTTTCTGCTGGTTTCTGCTGGTTGTCTCCTGAGCCAGTCTGGCAGGTCCTGCATATGGTATGGGGAGGCGGGGCATGTGAATTGAAAATCATGTATGTGAGCCATGCTGCCATGCTGTGTGTGAACCATTATGGGCTGTTTTGTGCCCTGCTGTTTCATGTGAGACCTTAGGCCGAAGAGCTTTCTCGACGGCACCTCCAAGCATGAGGCATGGCACCTATGAGTTTGTGCAGGCAGTATGAGTAAGGGTGTGGCTTGGGTGTTCATTGCACACGAGCAATGCCGAGTCGGGCAGGCAAGTGCGGAGCCCATGCGGGTGAAGGTAATGGAAGAAAGCGAGGAAGCTGTGGAAGATGTCGATGAAGCAGTGGTGGGTGCCTGAGCTGAGTTGGAGGGCGGTTGCTTGGCTGGAAAGTGGAGTTTTCCTGCACGCCTGCCGCTCTGATGTTGTGAGGGTGTAGTGGCCCTGGCTCTGTCGCAATCAGCAGTTCGCGGCAGTTCTTGTGCAGAGTGAAAGCCCGACTTCATGTTGATTGCAGCTTTCGCACGTATTTGAAGTTATTTGAAGTGCGTGTCGCACGTATGCACAAAACTGCCTACTTTCATTGAAACTGTGCGGCAGTGATTCTATTCAACAGAAGTGTGCTCCGAAGAAACCGTGCTGAGCAGTTGCGTGCGCCGAGGCCACTGGGTGTGCAGTTCGTGTGCACGTCAAAGGCACACGACTTTGGTCAAGCACCGTCTGTTCTTCTGGGGATTCTGTTGCCAGGTGACAGTCCATCTGCCGAGACAGAAATTCCAGCCGCTGGGTCCTAAGAGCGTGCCAAAGGCAGAATTGCAGGCCTAGCACTCATCACAATGGCCGTGATGACAATGACAGCACACTGGAGTGATGGATGATTATTGGCTGCCATCTTAGGAGTGGCCTAATGCCAAGCCACAGTTCCAAATATTCTTCTTGGAATCGCATTGAGCAATCATGCCAAATCACCTCGATTCCGAACGAAGCCTGCAGTGCTGGAAGTCCTCGAGGAGTGGCAGCACATCACGACCATCATGATGCGGAACTTGCCCAACAAGCCCCGCCCGCGGAAGAACCGGAAAGCATGAATGCCATGGACTTGGTGTTACTTTTTTGAGGTACACGCAGAGAATGCTCCTCTTGGAGGTGGTATGCCAAACCGTTCGTAGTTTTGCTACCCGAGTTGCTCTGATCGTACTTTTTGAAGCAGGTAAATCATGCTGGTTTCCTGGGAGCCTTCGACTTCTTTTACCTTCCAATCGGTCCAGCTGCCCTTGTTGCCTTGTTCTCAAGCTGCTTGTTGCCAGATATCTGCTGAGTGCATCTGAGTGCATCCGAGTGCATCTCGGTGCACCTGTATGCATCTGAGTGCACTGAGTGCCTTGAGTGCTTGCCAGATACAGAGACCGGTGCCAATCGCGGCTACGCTTTCCTGAACTTCTTGGATCCTGCGTTGGCCTGGATGTGCGGCTCTTGAAAACGTGGGGAGAGCCGAATGACCCTTGGATTTGAAGCGCGGCTGAAGCAATTGAAGCGCTGGCTTCGCCCAGGTTTCGCTTGATGTACGAAGGCCGCAAGATGAGCCGTTTCAACTCCAGCAAGGCTCGCAACTCAGTTGAGGAGTTTCGTACAGCAAGGAGTTGGAAGACAAGAGGACGACCGGCCGGCACAGCTTGCAGCGTTGTGTTCGTATTTGACCGCGTTTCACCATCTGTCAGGTCATAACTGTTGTGCCGGCAACCCTCCAGGCGCGGGGTTTCTGTTGGCCTTGCAATGCCTTGTGCTTGCTGTTCCTGCGCAGGGATTCGAGGCAAACTACATGCACTACGCCTTTTCCAGGGCTTGATGCTCAGAGGTCAATGCTGCGGGTTCTTGTGGAGCGCTTGTTTTGTGGCCCTTTGCCTGCTGATAAAGCGACCCTTCTTGCTTGCTTCCCGCAACATGTGTGCTGAGGTCAGTCGCGGCGATCCCGCAGCTAGGCCACTCTTCTTGCGAGCTGCCATGGCCTGGAGCGAAAGTGACGGCCGAGTGCTCAGTGGCTGAACAAGACAACTGCCTTCGCGTTGAAGCTTATCCAAATATGCTGCTTCATCCTCACAAGTGCTGTGATATGTCGCCTCCTCCAAGACGGCATGGTGATTTTCGCACACGGATGCCATGTCCGAGAGTGGAGTTGACACATGACATTGTTGAGGCACGAGCCAGCCTGATGTGGAGGCACTACCCTGACATATTTCAAGACGACGGACCAGTGCCACGATGTGCAACATATCAGGCAAGCGGCCTTGAACCCGCAGTCAACTATGTGCCTAAGTTGTCAGCGGCTCGAAAGTTGGGCTTTGATTATCAGGAGTTGGTGTCTTGCTGCTGTTGTTCCGATGAGTGCCCATGCTCAAATCATTGTGCTTGGCTTAGCTGCTCACAATGCGGCGGACGCATCCAGCTGATGTTTGTATTCTGCCCCGCACCCAGATACTGGGAAAGTTGTCATGTCCTCATGCCCGCACTCTCTATCTCTCGCTGGACACCTCCTCCAGCAGAAGCTTAGAAGAGGGTCAACCGAGTGCAGCACCCAAAGGTCCGAGCTGTGGTCAAGCTCTCGACTTCAGCTGACCGGCTGGATTCCCAAATGTTTTCAGCGACATGTGACATGCAAGTGCCTTCACTGGGACTCCGTGGGTGCATGTCAAACGTTTGGTGCTCGCGACTGAGGCTGTCAGCCAACGCCTGCACAGTGAAAAAATCTAATCGCCGCAGACAGAATGCCCGTAGCGCAGACTTGCGGGAGTTCGTGTGATGTGACATGAGAATCAAACGTAGTCGTTTTTGAAGTTCATCCGTGGTTGGTTGTGCGTTTGCATTTGTAGAACATCGGCGAGCATTAGCCGAAGACTCAGGTAGTGTTTTGAGCTATGCAACCTGGCCACGAGACATGGTGTCGGTCGACACTTGTAATTCGTTTGCGCACGGCCAGCCAGTCAACCTTGCTGGAACTGGGTGGCCCCACTGCAAATTTTCAATGCACACGCACGCTAGTTCACGCTAGTAGGCTCAGGGGAGGGGAGACTGTTGATCTCCCCTCTTTGCCCTGACTTCCAATGGTGCAAAAAAGCTTTTTTGGAAGTTGTGCAAGAGAAAAGAGCTGCATGAGGCAAGGATTGGACCAATCCCGGCTGTGTCACTGAGCATAGCCTGGGACCAAGACCCTGTTTCTTGTTGTAAATAGGTGCTTTTCCAGGACTGGATTGCTGGCCTGGACTTGCGCAAGAGCCCCGTGGGACCCGTCCACTCCATCGGGGTGCGATTGTGGCCAGATGGCAATGGCACAGGGTTCTCTGGTGTTACCCCTGGCCCTTACGTCCCATCTCGCATGTGCGAGACAGAAGGTTTTAATCTTTACGCTTCTGTGTCGGCAAGTCATGATGCTGCACGTCTGCTTGCTGGCAGATGCCCTCGTTTGTTAAGAAGCTCAGTTACATGCTGTTTAGGCGTGTGTTTTTGTTGGTAATTGTGGTGCTCGTTGGTTCGGAGACAATTGCCAGAGGTGAAGGGCGGCCACATATGTTGAAGGTGCTTGAAAGAGTCTCTGAGGTGCGACTCTCTCCCTGTTTCCTATCCCTCAACACTGACATGATTTGTCCTCTTGATAGTCCGATTCCAGTGCGATGGAATCCCAGGAGGCCAAAATGGCGGAGTCGATCCATTTGCGTCACTTGCACTGAGCGGCATGGAGCATCAGATCTGACACGCGTGTTGCTTGGACCGCAGTGTGTTTCAAGTGCTCGTGGCCTTTTCAACCGCGAGCTTGCCCGTTGCACTCGTGGTTAGGAGAGCAGGACACCACGTTGACGTGTTGATGTGGTCTGTAGAAGTTGTTGAAGTACTGCAGAAGGTCTAAAGTTCATTGCTGCTGATGAGGACCCATCAGGCAATATGATGGTGACTGCCGGTGGCTGTGTCGTCCTTATTCTTCTTTGACCACGTATCGAGAAAAAGCCGAGCTCCAAAACTCCGAACAAGCAGCGTGGTTCGCAATGCTGAGGCGAGTCTCCGCGATCCCCGCAAAGCCCAGGGCACTATGCAGCTGGCTTCGCCATGGGCCTGAACGAGTGCTGCGAGCATGACTTGGGGTCTCGGGGGGTCTCGGGGCTTCTGATGAACCATTGTTCACGTGGAACCCATCGCCATGTGCCCTTGTGGTTTCATCATGCCAAGCCAAAAGACTGAGTCTGAACTGGCAAAGTCGCAAGTCCGAGTTCTTATCGACACTAAGTGTGCGAGCAAAGGATTGAATCGTTGTTTCAGCTTGGCATGACACGAACCAACAACTCCAATGTATTCCAATGCTCACTACAACAGGTTACACTCATAAAACAGAGGAGAAGAGCGGTCTTTTTTTGGGATCCTAACTTCCATGTGTTGATTCTTTTGAAGCTTCCTCCCCCCCTTTTCTTCCTGGGCCGATCCCTTTGCGAAGCTCTCAAAGGTGGCTTGCAACACCCTGAGATTTGAGTACCGAAGTGGGGGTTGGAATTGGCATGGAAACGGCAACATTGGACCCATGTGAGAAGCTCGTACCTCTTTTTGACTTGCGGTTGGCAATTCGCTGAGAAACAAGTGACATGGCAGGCATTGCATAGAACGAGTTCAATTGGATGGTTGGGGATTTTGACCCTAAAGTTGTAAGGCTTTGCAGCCGTGACGCAACCAAAGCGTGCAGCCAGGTCAAGTCATGGAAACGTTGCCTGCAGCTCAGCAGCTCAGCAAGCCAGTATCAGCCCGGCTAAAAAAGTCTCACCAGCTTTCCCCCAAGTGCATGTGCCAAGCGCGAGAAGATTAGAGAAGAAAGGAGCGGATCATTCGTACACAAGCCACGCCAACTGTGACCTCCGAGTTTGGCTCGCCTCGCGGAGGGTACACGGACAGGTTGGGGCATCTGGGCATCTGGGCATCTTCCTGGGCTCAAAGTACAAGCTGTGTAGAAGCTGTGTACAAGTGACAGGCGGTGCATCACCATTGACATGGACGCAGGGACTGGTTTGCACCGAGGCCGGTGAACTAAAGCCAAAGCTCTCAAAGCTCTCAAAGCTCTCAAAGCTCTCAAAGCTCTCAAAGCTCTCAAAGCATCAGAGCCCCCAGGGCGCAGCCCATCTCCAGCGCCGGCCAGTCCTGGGACAAAGCTGCTGGCTGAGAGTTCCTGCGTAGCGCATAAATGGCGCCTTGGGACATGCTGTCGTGTGCCTATGTCCCTTCCTCTTCTTCGAAGCACCCAGGTTTGAGAGGCTGCGTGCGCTGCAGGCACGGCTCGGCCTGATGCGGAATGGCAGCATGGGTGACCTGACTTGGGGATGCATGGGGCTTCTGTTGAGGGTGATACAGGAACTCCATGCAACCTGCTTCTCCATTGCGGTGCAATGCAGGCTCTGGACCATCCATATTTGGATTTTTCTCTGGACGTGGTCCCGTGCCGCAGGCAAGGTGTTTCCACTAGTTTCTTGACATCGTAGCTTCTGCTTCATGGGTTTTGCTTGCTGTTATTGCGAGAGGTCCTGGGTTTGTGGCCTGTTAGGGTCGCAGACAAATCTCGGTCTCAGTGGTTTCGCATGCGTTGAGGCACTCGCCCGCGCCTGTCAGACATGATCCTCGAAATGAGATTCTCCAAGCTCTTGACGCCTACGAGTCTCATCCTCAGATGCATGGACACGTTATGACGTATTTGGCCACCCAGCGCTATAGCCAGCTCTTGAATGATCCTGATGGCAGGCACACTGCTATTCTTGGTCGACGAGCGCCAGCCACAGCATGCACAGATATCCACAGCTTGGAGTGATTCGGAAGCTTTGCGAAAGCTTTGGTATCAGCGATGATCTTGATCCGAGTCGTGCCTGACCCGCAAGGCACCCATGCCTCGCCAGCAGAGAGGCTGCCACAGATCACTGCGCGCGCGTGCGCGCGCGCGCGAAGGATCTTCTAAAATCTGCCAGCCCAAAGCTGGCGACTTCCTCAACCCTTCGTACTTGGCAGGTGAGGTCGAGACGGGCTCCATGTCTCCGCGCAGACCTCCAGTGCCACGCCCGGGTCCTAATCTCGCGGCGGCTGAGCTGGAAACACCAAGAAAGCACTGGAAGATCGAGGCTTCAGCACTCCGGACAGCCAGTGCGCCGGCCAAACTTCTTTAAACTGCAGCTGTTAGCATAAAGCGACTGGTTTGAGCTCCTCCGTCTTTTGTTGAAGGCCATCAGACGCTGCCATGGAAACTGCTCGCAGCGGTAAGGTTGCTGCCCGAGCCTAGGCAAAGGCAGCCGCAGTGCCCAGAGCTTGGCTTCTGCGAGGCTGGGAAGGATGACCCCAAGAAAGCCATGGACAGGAGCATACGTCGCAGGGAGCCAAGTGCACAACATCCCAAAATAGATGAGAAGGAACATAGAAGGTCCACAGCCATCAGTTCACCTTACTTCAGGCTTGGACACCGCTGCCGCCAAACTGGAGAAAGTCGCCAAGGCCCAACTTCCTGAGCCCCAAGTAAGCCCCCCTAAACGCAAAAAGAGCCGAACCCCGGCGCACCCTCTAAACAACTGCATTTATATAATTTGATCATGTAATTGTACATCTCGATCTGTGTTTAGATCGTCGTTGCGGGGAGTGAGCGCTTGCAGTTGAAAACAAAGCTAGCTTTAGACGCAGCTGGGCCATGCCATTCTGGCAGCAGGCTCTGGTGGAAGAGGCACAAAGACAGAGCCTGGCCCAGCGCAATTTCGGGTGGTGTCAGGGCGAACTTGTCCTACTGCCCTACCTGCCCAGTGTGGCAAGCCGAGGTCCTTGAAGCGAGTTGGATGAACTGATGAACCATATTTGATGCAAGAACCTCAGTGGGGACACCTGGCAGTTCGCAGAATTTCAGGCTCGCACATGGCTCCTGACCGTTTTCCATCTGGTTTGCTGTCCTGCCCCTCCTTTTTTTTTCTGCTTTCCCATGTGCTGACTGCGAGCGTTGCGTTCAGAAGCCGACTCCTGCGCTTCCAAAGCCTAAGTGAAGCGGAAGCGGTGATTCAGCACATTTGGTATACATTTGTTCTAACGTTTTACACCACTTCCCAACCTCCCGAACTTGGTTCTTTCTGGTAGCAGGTTTGTGGTGAGTTTGAGCTTCGAGAGAATGTCTTTAGTTTGCTTCCTCCTTTAAACAGTTTCAGTGTGTGCTCAGACGGAGCCGTGCCCTGCACACTCTGCTTTGCACGCACGCTCTGCGGCGTGACTTGCCCGATGCCAGCAGTGTTTTTTTTGTTTTTGCGAGGCTGTTGTAATCTTTGTTTTCCGTACCCTGACTGGGCATGTAAGATATTGTTGGAAGGCACTATATGGTGAGAATGGAGCACGTGATGTCTCACCTCCTCATGCTCCCCAAAAAGTGCTCTCGCGTAGGTGTGGTGCCCTCTTTGTCGCGACCTTGTCATGGTCCCACCTCTGACACGCTTGTCGCTGTCGCTCTTGGTTGCTCGCTCTTGCTGTCGCTCTGTCGATTTCTCTTCCCGTTGCTTGCTGCTCGCTGTCGCTTGCTCTCGCCGTCCCCTTCTCGGACCAACGCTGCCTCTGTCGTTTCTCCTTCTATCTCTCTCTCTCTCTCTCTCTCTCTCTCTCTCTCTCTCTCTTTTCATTTCCCTTCAATCTCGGAGCCTGTCATAACTTGGTTTTGTTCCTGGTTGGCCTGGGAGCCATCAGGTGAGATATGATGCAGGTCGCCGAAGGCCGGCCTGACAGAGCTGTCGTTACCCCATGCTACACAGCCTGACACAGCCCTTTCCTGCAGGCGCCGACATTCCAAGTAGAAGAGTCTCAGCCCCTCAGATTGCAACTGGAGTCGTCGAGCTATGAAGGGCTGAGCGACAGACATCCCAAGCATCCCTTTTTGAGTCACTGTCTGCCCCAGCTGACTGCCCAAGGCGTTGCTATGAATGCGTCGATGGGGTTCTTTGTGGGCTTCTCAGTGTCTGCTATACATGACAGGTAAGTTGGCACTCACACATATTGTGAGTGTAGAACCTCCACGTATCCGTGACTCAGGACCTTGTCGCTCTAGCTGTTTGTCCGCGTTATTGGGCAGTGAGCTGCTTCTCGCCGGGGCGGCTGCAAAAGAGTCTAGAGTCTAGAGCACTTTTGAGAGAGCTTGGAGGCGACATATCTGACCGCATTTATTTAATTTCTTTGCTTCCTCTGCTCCGGCGCGCTTGGCCCTGACCGTAGATGCCAAGGCTGTGATGTGAAGGCTCATGTTCTGTTGGGCATCTCGGAGAGAATGTCAGAAATGATCTCCCTAGGCCATCCTAGGCCCTCCTAGGCCCTAGGCAGTTTTCGGGAAACGCTCCGGGTCTCAGCTCGAACCTTCACCCCGAAAGCACATCAGGGCCTTCGGCGCCTCTCAGAATTAGCGAGGTCTGCTAGCATTGCTCACCATGTAGCCCAAAAAAGGTGTCTCGAAGTCGTTCGAAGGAATCTGCGAACGACCTGTGAGTCATCAAGTTCTTTTGTCCTGTGAGACGCCTTTTTTGACCATATGCGAGTGTATGTGAGCTTCATGATCAGCAGCATGTTGAATTAGCGCGAGCACCGCAGCCGTTCGCTGCTCATGCGTGCGGGGCAGGATGTTTGAGGAGTACATCCACACAAGAAGTACCACCATGTCACGATGTTGTCTTGCCATGCGAGAGCTTTAAACAAACTGAGCTGGGCAACTTTAGGAGTGGGGCAGACAGGGTGAAGCAGAGTGCGTCCATGCGGCGTCTCAGAGTGATTGCTGGAGGCAGATCGGTGGCTACCGCATGCTACCGCCTCATGAACATTTTTGTTCTTGTGCCGAGGAGCCCGGATTTTGCTGGCACCAAGGCGGATTATGTGGCATGAGCAGGTGCTGTATTGCATGTCTCGATTGCGCAGGGCGAGAGCGATCGCTCTCCATGAGCGAGCTGGATGTCAGCGTCTGCGGTCTCCGTTCGCGGTGTCGGGGGCCCCGTTGGGACAGCGATGGACAGCGTGTCCAACAAGGGTTGACACGAGTCGCGCTTGAAGGTATGGCCGAGCAAGCAGCTCGGAGTCCAAGCTGGTCACTCAGACTCAGCTTGATCACCGTGACGTCACTTTTTCGATATCCACTGGCTTTTGTTGAGGGCACTTTGCTGCTTGTTTCGTTGTTTCTTTCGTTTGCAGTCTTTGCACTAGTTCTCTTGATGCTTGGCGGGTTCTGCTCTCTTGTGGATTATTGAAGGCCCGAACAGCAGACTACAACCACATCATCACATCCTCACCTGCGAGACCTCTACGAGGTGCATTTGTCACTACTTATGATGGGACTTAGCAGGACGATTCCGATGGTCATGCAGTGTCGGCCATCCGGGATCGCTGCAGTGTGGCGTGAGTACAGCTCGACTAAGGGGTCTACGCGACAGATGCACTTGCAGATGGAGAGGCTGGCCAAGGCTCAGATTGAAAGCTGCAAGGCTTATGACGCATTCGGAGCAAGCTGACAGCTGCGCAGATGACTCGGAATGTGCAGCTTTCCTACAGATTCATGATCGCTGGCCTTCTGCTGAGAACATGGAATGACCTTAGCCAACCTTTGCCGTAGGCTTGTGCATGCTTGTGCGCTCTCATTGCTCTGGGTCGAGGTGGTGGCGTGGTGGTTGTCGGCATCGGCTACGTTATCATCAACTGGTAAGCAGCGCAAGCAACGTGAGCAGCCCAAAGTTTCTTGCGTGCCGCGAAGCGCCAGGACAATTTTTCGTTCGCACGTCTCACAGGAGTCAGCCGAGGCTACCATCTCAGCTGGATTGAGGTTGTACGGGTTTACAGGGATTCTTTGGCACTTGTTGCATGTCCTGCTGAGACCTGAGGTTGTCTCCCAGACCATGAGGGATGCGCAGGTGCAGTTCACTGCTCGAGAGTTCTCGAAGGAGAGCACTACCAAGACCAAGCGGACCAAACATTGTTTCTACACCGTCCCGTCTGAGGAGCTGCTCAACCAGTTGCTGCATGATGAAGAAATGACCAAGACTGTGGCGTCCTGGACATGTGCAGACCGTGACCGTTTTGTTGATGTAGACGCTTCAAAGCCTTACCTGGACCAAGGTGAGTGTGCCCGTCGGTGTGTGCACATTAGTGATGGGACTGGCGGGTGCGTGGTGACATGTGGCGACAGGACTTTGCGGCTTCTAACCTCCATACAGGAGGAGATCGGAGCTCTCTTTGTCCACATCCTGCAGCAGGATCAGGTCAGATATTCTCCGACTTGGCTGCAGTCCGACTTAGGTGGACCAAACATGACCGACCTGCAGGTTGTGGATGAAGTGAACCGACTGGCGGACAAGCTCGTAGCTTATCTCTGCGCGAGCCAGACGATCCAGGACTCGGGCTGGTTGGCGTGCTGTCGATTCGGGTTCACGCAGGCGCATTAAGAGGCTCTTTCGGAGAGGCGCCTAGCATCCAAGCAGTGGGCCGAGCGCCATGGACTTCGACGAGCCGCTGCTTCCTCTGGCGCAGACCCGGGGCGTGCTCGGCAGCAGATCGCAATGGGTTGAGGTGGCTTGCCCACAGTATGTAGCCCGAGCTGCTCTCCAATGCAAGCTTTGTGCAAAATCAACGAAACACCAGAGAGAGACAGAGAGAGACAGAGAGAGAAAGAGAACCGGCCCAACCACCGACGGCGAGCCGGGCAGCGGGAGGAAGGAGAGGGGAAGGGGAGAGGGAGGAGGCAAGGACCGGCGGCGAAAACCCACACCCAGAGGAGGAGCAGGAAGGGGCCGGGGTAGGGCTGGGCACCGGGGAAGGAGGGGGAGATGGAGGGGCTGGCCACCATCGAGACCTGCTACCAGGTCAAACAAATGGCAGGGACAAGTTCGAGGCAAACTACGAGGCGAACGCGGCAGAGGAGGAGAAGGGGAGGGGGTCCTGCCACATGGGAGCGGGGGCGAACACTAAAATGACCCAACCATGGGACCCACCACCCGCAGCCAGACAACCGGGGCCCATGCGACGCAGATGGGAGGCCCAGATGGGCATAGCATCGGGGAGACGGAGGTCCAAGACGATGAGCACCGCCGCAGAAGGGAACATGCAGGACTAGACTAGAGGGGCTGTTCGGATATAGGGGTTCGGTCAGGGGATGTAGGGGGCTTGGCACAATCTAACCCGCGTGACACCCAAGCAACCAGTAGCATCCAGCAAATTCTCCGGGGGAACTTAGGGAAGGTTTCGGGGGCTTCGGAGTTGCCAGGATCTCGAGTTGAGGGTAGGTCCGGGGATAACAGCCTGTTTGAACCCCCCCGAGAACACAGAGCTGTTCACCACAGTTGCGGGGGCCTTGTAGGAACTAGTTGGGCATGGAGTGAGTGTTTGGACTTGGGGTAGGCTTGTAAGGAAGGTTCGGGGCGACATACGAGTCACCCACGCGGGACAGTGAGTAAGGGCATGGCGCGAGGCTTAATGGAAGTGGGCTACGAAGGACACTCAGGATGGGCCCCGACACCACTGTACCCGTGTCCAACCGAGGGGTCCCGAATTCGCCCCCACGCCCCCAAGAAAGAAAGAAAGAAAGAGAAAGAAAAGGGAGAGAGACAGATCGGGGTCCCCCCCTGCCCCAAAGAAAGAAAGAAAGAAAGGAAGAGAGAGCGGGGGCCACCCGTCAGAGCGGCCTAAGATGAGCGGGGTTCCTCCCCATGCCTCAAGAACAAGAAGAGATGGGAGAGGGATTCATGAATATGCATGATATATATATATATGGTTATATATGTAAAATGTACTCACATATATCAGTGTATTTGCTGTGCCTGACATTCGCAGGGCTTGGCATTGACTGGCCTGCTTGCTTGCACGGCTCGCTTGCTGCAGCTTGCTGCGCCGGAGCTGTCAGGCCTGTTTCGCTGCCGATCTGAGGGGAAGATCTGTGGGACGAATGAACACCACTGATCGCTGCTTTGATCCCTCTTTAAGAGGTAGGTTTTGCAACAGAAGCGACGAGCGCGAGCAGTCATGTTCGTTCGCTTGCAGGCGGGCCGCTGGTGATGGCCTCGGGACCTGTCGGGCTCGGAGGCTATCTGGGCTCCTTGGGCATCTTCCTGAGACAGTATTATGACAGCTTAATCCCGTATGCAGCTTGGACTCTCCTCAACTTTGGTTTTGCGCTTTGCCTGCTGGTTTTAAGTTTGAGAGCCCAAATCGCTCCGCATGCCTGTGCACTGTACGAGTCGGTTTGGATCTCAGGTCTGGCCCATCACGTACTGCGGCATTGTCCTTTTCGTGCTGGTATTTGTGATGTCCTTCCTCAACCACGCCAAGGACGAAGTTTTCATCAGCTAGGATGGGCAATGTTTTGCGAACACGGGCACGTGAACGTGTGCCCAGCTGCGCAGGACTTCTCGGGATTTGTGCCTTGCCTTAAAAGCTCCTCGAGTCACATTGCTTTGTGTTCAGAAACAGTATAGTGCTGCTGGTGGAGCAGGGGAGGAGTGTGGGAGATTTTTGGAACTGTCAGGTGAGGATGATGGAGAGCTTTGGTCTGCCATGCCCGGCATTCATGGCAGCTGGGGGGCTTTTCTCTCTGCTGGCGGGCTCCTTGTGTTACCTCACAGGCCGACTTCTTTGTTTGTTCTTGATTTTCTCCTGGCCGCAGCAGCCTTGTCATGGACAAAGTAGCACGTTCCATCTGACAGGAATCCCTGTCTTGATGGAGTGGGGTGCGGAATTCCTGCTGATGTTCCTGATCCTTGGCATCGGGCGGAGTGGGCATGAAACAAATTTTTTAAATTGCTTAACTGTGTGAGCAACCCTGTGCTGCTTGGTGGGGGACTTGGAATCGAAAGCTTAGGGCCTAGGGGCTGTCGGCTGTTCGTGTGAAGGGCATCAAGGCAGTGCCTTGGAGGTCGCTGGGCTCCCTTTAAGGTCCCTGTTCCCACCTGCACCCATGCATGCGTTGGACGTGAGGATTGCCTCAACGTATTTTGGACATTACAAGCCCTGGAAACAGTCCAAAGACATGAACAACTTCATAATGATCATGAAGAATGTCGGCATTTCTGGGCACTGCTTGCTTACAATTGGGTTCGAAGTGCCGGAGATTGGTAAAGACGGAACGCCGCTCGGGCTACACAGAGCTCTGGGATCTGTTGGTAATTTCATCGGCAAGATCTACGCCCTTTTCCGGCCTTATTCGTTCATCTTCAAGTACACAGGTCTCATCTTCTTTGCATTGCCCTTTCTACTGTCGTTTCTGCATCACGTGAAGGACACCAAGCAGTTCGTTCTGTCCTCAGTTGATGCTGGTGTTTCGTAGGCTCCGAAAGGTGTGAGCTGGGGAATAGGATTAGTAGGACGCGCAAGGTTGGAATGATCATGGGTTTCGGCTTTGGCCGCTTCACGGCGACAGTCCTCGCGGTCCTCACCCTGGTCCTTATGTCGGTTTCGTCGATCTTCTACGTGAGTGGTGTCCCGGTGCTGATGGAGCTGGGTGCCGAAGGCCTCTTCACCTTCCTGCTCTTCGCCACCTACTTCGCCCATCTCAAGCCTTACCTGCAGTCAGGACACGGAATACCAGGGAATGCCAGGGAAGGCCTCGCCGTTTCCCCTCCCCCAGAATTTCATCATGGTACCCTGAAACACCTTGAGCATCCTTGAACTGTAACTGCTGGAAGAGTAAAGGCAGGGTATGGCAGCGCACTTGCAAGGTAGCATTCCTTGCAGCTGCCAGGGCCCTTGGGCGGTGGGATAGTGGTGGCTGCTGGGGCGGGGAGGTGGTGGACTGTGTGGACTGCCACACTTCTCACGGGTTGAGAGCCTCAAATGCCCAGCTGTGAGTACGGCAAGGAGACGTGAATCATTTCCTGCACATCCTCAAGAACATTTCGCTGGCTGGAGCCTGCCTGATGACCATCGGCATCGTCATTCCCCAGATTGGGGCATCATAAGCAGAAACATGAATAGGACGGAGGAACCGACAATGCCTATTCGTTGGAGGCTTAGGGTTTGGCCCCGCCCAAAGTTTGGCAGCACAAGACCTGTCAGCAGGCGGTTTCTGCATGTTTCTGCAATCCCAACCTTAAAAAAAGGGAAGCAGCAGCGTGCATGAATGTGCGGCATTTGTGATCGCTTGCGGAAATGAATGGAAATGGAAAGGAGAGCTTGATGGCAGAGCGCAGGATGTGTGCCGTGGGGGCTCTAGGGTGCCTGGATACCCTCGTCAATGGAGGTCTTGCGAACAAGTCTTTCGACATCTTGCGCGGTTTGCAGGAGCGTGTCGGCGGTTTGTTGGTGGACGCCATCAACCTCCAGGCTCTGCTTAGTTGGCAAGCCCAGAGTGGTGAGCGTGTTGCGACGTTAACGATCCCCGTTCTGGCAGTCCTCGCGGGATGCCGCGGCTATCTGGGCGTACGACTTGGTCATGCGCGAGGAGCTTTGTGTACCGGTTACCGGAGCTTCTCAGGTCTGTAGTTGTAAGGCGTCAAGCAGCCTGTGACACGTATAAGAAACAGCGGTGACATATAAGCAAGAACTAAGGTAAGAGAGAGGGAGAGAGTTCTCTGTAGAAGAAGAAGGAAGAGAGATAGAACGAGAAAGAGAACGTGAGGGGGGCTCTTTAGTTCGCAGAAGAAGAGACACAGGACTGCGCGGGGGCCTTGCTCCCTCCTGCCCAAAGAAAGAAATAAAATGGAAATAAAGAAGCAAAGAAAGAAAGAAGGAAAGAAGGAAGGAAAAAAGGAAAGAAATAAATAAACACAGAAAGAAACAAAGAAAGAGCGTAGCACGCCCCTCACGCCCGGCAGAAAAAGAAGAGCTCGCAACAGTGCAGGATGTTACCGAAGGCTTCCGAGACTTGGTGGTGGCAGCGCTGCAGTGAAGGGCTCAGAGAAACGGTCAGTTGAGTCCGTTGAGGAAAAACCCCTTGGTGCTTTTCCCGACCACCGCTTAGCCTACAGATGTCTAGAGAGAATCCTTGAGGATGGATGCTGTGGTGGAGGAGGCGCAGCAATTGGCGGTGCAGGCTCCGCCCTGGGCACTTCTCTCGGCTTGGCATGTCTTCAGCTTGGGGCAGGTGGTGAACAGAGTTCTTTCCGACGAAGGCACCATTCTAGAGGCCGAGAAGAGGGAGGAGAAACTGTGCGGACTCACCCAGCAGCTTCCCCTGCCAGGCCAAAAAAGTGCTTCGCGATGCCCTCGAAGACCAAGAGCTGCGCAATTCTGCCAAGGCAAGGCACGGCGCACGTCATTCGTGCTGAGGTCGGCCTTGGGCTGTCATGCTGTCACGCTGTCACGGAATAAGCCAGGAGTCGCTCTGGAGTATCGTGATCCCCTGGGGTTCCAGATCAAGCAGCTTGGCACCACGCAGCCACTAATGATCCACTAATGTCGCTAATGATTTGGCCACCGATAGCAGAAGTGCACCGTCGGTTTGGCGTACCTTGCCGGAAGGTCCCGACGAGGTGAAGCGTGCGGTGCGTTTGGCAGAGGCGAGAATCGGCGAGAGTTGCAATTTCCTGAGGGGCACCAGTGCCCACTAGGCCGTAGACGTCAAAGGGTGCCGTCCAGAGGAGCTCGCGTCCCTGCCCGCGCTCAACGACGACGAGCGGGCAAGTCTTCGGTTGGGACCTCACCTGTGCTGCGCGATGCTGCGCCGGGGAACTGCCGCAATCCAATATGTGAAAGTGTTCGACAACAAAGGTCCTTGCAGATGCGGCTGAGAGCCGAAGGAAGGAAGGGCAGAGAGCTCAGCGCCCGTCTTCTCTTCTCTTCTCTTGCTGTCGCTCCTCAGAGCCTCTGATCTGCTTCGGAGCTTAGGTTCCAATTCCGCTTCGGAGGAGGCTAAGAAGGCGCAGCGGGCAGACAAAAGGACGCAAAGTCTGCCCCACAGCCTTTCCCAGCCAACCCCAGCCCTTCCCAATTCGTTGCATCTGTTCGGTCTTGAAGGACGGATGCAGGAGACAAGCCGGAAGCCTCGGCACCTGTGCAGGCACGACTGCAGCGTTGCAATGTTGCGTCATGACTGGCATTGACTGGCCACACCTACTAGTTACTGTGGTTCAGTGACTCATGGTTCCGAAAGGCTCAGCCGGTCTCACCGGCCAAAGAAGCTGGGCAGGCCGGGAAGTAGGGAAGTAGGTTCACAAGATGGGTCGCTTTCAACGTTGTCGGGGCGTTTTCCCTTTTTTTTTGCTGTGAGCCGAGACATGTGTCTTTGGCGTCGATGCAGGTGCGGCCGTTGGAATTGACGACGCAGCAACTAAAAGCTTTAAAGGCACCGGAGCCTTCAGGCGCTGAGACAGACTGTGCAAGACACGGTAGGATTCGCCGCCTTTTCCAGTGGGCGAGTTTGGGAGACATTGAGGACAAGTTCAATAATTTGGCAGCCTTCTTGTTGGTGTTCAATGATTCTGCTTTGCTTGTGGTCAGTCCCACTCAATAACTTGGGCAGGTGAAGACTTGTCCTCCAAAGCTTCCAAGGCCTTAGATTCGAAATGGGGGGTGCATGGCACAATCGGCACGCATGGTGGAGCGAGCGTGGTTTATAGCAACCATGTGGGTTGTTGTCTTGCAGTTTGCCTCTCCCGGTCTGTGGAGGAATAGGCTGAGGGCAATACATCTTTGGTAGCCGGTTGGGGTCCTGATGCACAGTCCGGTCCCGGACACCTGTCGCCTATGGAGGGTGGAGGCCTCGGTGGATTAAACAGTGAACTCCTCGGAAACGTAGACCCGGATGATCAGCAAAGCTAGCTCTGTGGAGCTTGCGGCAGTTGTCGTTGAACTTTAACATCTTAAGTCACTGCTTACGAGTAGTAAGGCGCTAGGGGAGAAACATGTTCGGGACCTTGACGGGTAACCAAGACTTAGCTCAAGGCTTCCCCTCCAGGTGGCTGAGCATGGGATAAGGCAAAGCCCCCCGACCTTGAGGTCCCCCTCTCCCTCTAGGTCCTCAAGTTACCGAGGCGATGCAGGACGCAAGACGTAGCTTTTTTGAATTTAGCGCAGATCAAGCAACGAATGCAGCGCCCTAAGGTTCGAACCCTAAGCAATAACTAAACCCCATTGCCAAGTGTTCCTGCCGCCTTCGTTCGTGCACTGTCGTTCCCTGGATTTCGTGGCCCCTTTTCAAGTTTGGATCTCCGTAAGATGTTGCTGCTTGTGCTCTGGGAGGAGGCGACGGAGAAAGTGGCCGATAGCGTTTCATCATCTCCGTATCCAGAGGACACTGGCGCGTGCGTGATTCGACGGATGTGCTGTAGTGCCAAGGGTCAAAGATGTTGCAGGAGGTACGGCAACAGGACGTGCGCAAAGCTGAAGACCAGCAGGCGCAGTGAAATTGAGAGTTTGTCCTGGTGATCCCCGGTTGTGCCGGTGATGTAGACGGCGAATGACGGCGAACGAGGAGTTTGTAGCTCCGCCGGTCGGCGCAAGATGCGGTACACTGCCGTGGCCACAGGCAGCCAAAGTGCGCGAGCCGAGCCCAAAGCAGGCAGATCGAAGGAAGCGGTACAGCGGTGACCCTACACCATCGATAGTTTTCATGACGGAGAGTGCCGAGAAAAAGCAGGACAAGCATCTCAGGTGAAACCAAAAGGTTAGACAAAGGCTTCAATGGGTACTTTATCAACCTGTTGCGGGATGGGATTTTCAGCAGACTACGCCTTTCGACCTTGCATTGGGTCTATTCTACCGGTTGCGATCTGATCTTTTCGCAGCTCGGGCTTAGATCGTATCTGCATATGTGAACATGTCGCCAAAATCCCGTTGCCATTGATCTGTGATTGGGTCGAGGAATCTTGGTTAAGCATGTTTGATGTCTCACGGGGGAGCAATGGGACGCAGCCCTTAGAGACATGAAGGGTCCCGTAAGAGTATGGGACAGACTGCACCACTGAGGGTGCCTTCTCACAGCATCAGAGCAGGTTGAGCCCCCTTAGCTTCCTAGCATTTGGAGCCATGTTGGGGGAAATCAATGACGATTTCGACATGCTTGAAAAGCGCTTCGAGCAGAAATACGAAGTCAGGTTCTTAACCTGTAAGCAAAGGAGATGCATCTTTGCAGAAATCACGCAGATTCCTTCAAGAATATTCGATAGTGTCAGGTCACTGAGCCAAAGGCCCTCGGAGAGGGGACCTACGGCAAGGTCCGAATTTCATGCAAAAGGAGTGCCAGCAGATTTTGGGTGTGCCTTCGTCTGGCCTTGATGCTTCAACTTCCCTGTCCCTGGCGCTAGGTCTACAAGGCTGTCAGCAGGGAGAGCAACCAGGCTCGACCCAATTCGTGAAGTGCTAGAGCTGCTAGAGGCTAGGACATGTGCCTCGGCTACGACTGCGCTATGCTGCGCTGCCTTTTGCAGGTGGTTGCGATTAAGAGGATAAAGCTTAATCCCGATGATGACGAGGGTGTGCCGCTGGGGTCCTGGACGGTTCCATTTCTGTCTCTGCGTTGCACTGAGTCCCACCGCCCCTCCGCCGCAGCTCAGGAGCACAGCTTTGCGCGAGGTGGCTGTGCTAAAGGACTTGGCCTTTGGGTGGTGCCACGATCTGCCGCCACTGTCTGCCAAGCAGGTTTTGGTGCATTTGGCATAAACATGTTGGACACGATGTGTAATGACGTGCAATGTCAGAACTGCAGGACCTGGATAGCGAATACGTTGTGAAGCTGTTTGAGGCATCGAGCCTTTATGGTCGGAGTGCTGGGTCATCGGCCGCAGCTGTGGTTTTTTGGCCATGCAATGAATCCAGTGACCAGGCGAATCTGATGTGACCAGGTGTTTTGCTCTCCGAGCAAGCTCGTGCTTGTCTTCGAGCTCATGGAGAATGATCTCAGAAAGTGCCCTTTCACCTACCGCATCCTACCGCTTTCTCCTCTCACCTCCATCCCCCTCGGCCCAGCTCTGGTGCGATTGATAGCTTGGCACGTTTGACACAACCACAAACACATAGCAACAGCGGTGTGATTGTCAATAAGTGTTTGTGTTTGGTGAGGTCTAATGCGTTGTTTCTGAACATTTGCTTGCATGTAAGTATCCATCCAGATGATCGTGCACTGTACAGTAAAAGCAGTGTCGCATAGCAAGGTACATGAAGCAAGCTGGAGGGAAGATTCCATCGCCCTCAGCTCAGCTCAGTTGCCCAGTCTGATGAAAGATTCACGCGGCAGAATCTGCAGGCATCAGGTGAAGAGCCTCTGCTGGCAGCTTGTGAAAGGCCTCGAAGTCTGCCATGCGTCCTGGCCGTAAAGCGCACTTGATGCTCATGCCAGTTGCTACGGCCAAAAAAGAGCATCTGAGGCTTGCCGCATCATACATCGTGACATAAAGCCCCTCCCTCTGAAGCAAGTGCATGCTTGCAGCTTGCTGTGCGCTGGTCCCCGTGCCCGCTCGCCGAGGCCCCAGAACCTGTTGATCGATGCCAATCATAGGCTGAAGCTGGCTGACTTTGGCCTTGCAAGGGCGTTCATGGTACGCCCCCCCTGGCGCCTGTTTTATGGCACAGCGTGAGACACCGATTGTCAGCAGCGTGGTTCCTGTGGTCCCTGTGGTAGGTCCCAGTTCCGAAGTATACCCACGAGGCACGGAATGAATGACAAAGCAGTTTGACAACATGTCGAATGTTTTGCTGAGGTTGTCACAGTGTGGTACCGGGCACCAGAGATCCTGTTGGGCTCTGCCCCGTCCTGAATGTGCCCTTCCTCTTGCCGCGCAGCTGGCGACAGCAGCATAGATTCGCAGGCTGGCTACAGCATCGCGGTAGACATGTGGGCCGTGGGTTGCGTGTTCGCTGAGATGGCGACCGGCGGGGGCCTGAATTCTGAATGGGCCGAGTTTTCAGAGACCGCAACCCTTGCCAACTGCCTCAGGCCGTCCCATGTTTCAGGGAGATTCTGAGATAGACACGATCTTCAAGGTCCATGTCGAACCACAGACCCCCCTCACAGCAACCTTTTTGGCTTCAGCAACTTGCCAGATCTTTCAGAAGCTGGGCACTCCCAATGATATCAGTTGGCCGGGAGTCCAGGACTTGCCAAAGCCCGATGCTTGGGGGGGAATCTGTTTCCAGATAATATTCTTTGCACTGCGTTTTCCGCAGCATGAGCTGCATGCTGAGTTTCAAGACCGCCTTCCCCCAGTGGAGACACAAAGGATGTGAACTCAGCCTTTGTGGCTCCTGTCACCGATAAAGCGATCGCCGCGCGTGTTCGCTGAGCACTGGTGAAGCACACCGAGGCTGGGCAAACATCCGCAACACCAAGGAGAAGGCAGCCAAGTGGGGGAGAGGAATCTCACCATACTTGGAGCCCACCGACTGCCGATAGTTTGACATCGTCTGGGGGAGTATGTCTTGTAAGGTGGGCGAATCTGGCATTGACCTCCTGGAGAAATTCCTGGCGTATGCCCCCAAGCAGCGGTGGCCTCTTGTCTAGTCTAGTGAGGCCAGTGGCAGAGCACTGAGATTCTTTCTGACTTGATCCAAGACTTTATTTAGACTCGTTTCTAGACACTGGAGCTGTCCAGTCACCTGTATTTCTGGGGCTTCATGCAGATGCATGCGATGTTGTATGATGCATGTTACTCCACGCTCAGGAGCGCTCGAAAGGGACTGGCGCACCCTTACCTGGCAGATGCTGGGCCTTGAGGCATCTGAGGCTGTGGCTCCACAGCCTTGTGTCACTTCTCGTGTCACTTGGTGTCACTGCTCTGAGCTTGTCACGAAGCGCGCGACAAGCCGCTCAATTCAGTGGTTGCAAAGGGGGGGTTTGCATTTGTTGGAACCTGTTTTCGCTGGGCAGAACGTGTGCACTACCATCATGTACATTATCGTACATTGCCCTGAAGCCGCATGAGTCATGAGCCCCATCCTAATTGCGAAGCAAGGTAACCGGGTAACCCTCTCAACACGTCAGCCCCTCCAATTCAAGTAGCTGAGTCTTGAACGGGTGTGTGGGCTTGCGCAGGGGATGCGTGCCCGCCGATCGCGGAAAAATGCTGTGCTTGTTATGGCTTGCGATGGAGGGTCGGGCATGCAAAGCTGAGGCTGAAGTGTTAAACTTCCCTAGGTTTCTCGCAGAAATACAGCCGGGCTGTGGCCGCAACCGGCTACGCCCCAAAGCAGACAAGAACTTAGGTATGAGTGCAGGCTGGGTGGCCCGCTTTTGTGTTGGGAGGACGAGGACAAGAACTGAATGACGAGGAGCAACACGACGACGACGACGGCGGCGGCGGCGGCGACGACGACGACAGGGACGGCAGCGACAGGGACGGCAGCGGCAGCGACAGCGACGGCAGCGACGGCGATGGCGACAGCGACAACAACAACAGCAGCAGCAGCAGCAGCAACAACAACACATACAGAAGCCCGAAACTAAGGCTACGTCGGACCTATGGGTAGGTCTACCCTAGGCCTACGGGTAGCCTATGTACAGGCCTACGTAGAGGCTATGCGAGGCTACCTTTTGGCCTATCCGTAGGCCTACGAGTGGGCTACTGGTAGGCCTCCCTGTAGGCCTACCAGTCGCCTGTTGACAGGCCTACCAGTAGGGCTGTGGATAGCCTACCGGTAGGCCTACCCGTAGGCCTACGGATAGGCTACAAGCAGGCCTATCCGTAGGGCTATAGGTAGGCTACCGGCAGGCCTACCCGTAGGCCTATGGGTAGGCTACCGGTAGGGGCCTGCGGGTAGGCCTACCGGTAGCCTACCCGTAGGCCTACGGGTAGGCCTGCCGGCAGCCTGCCCGTAGGCCTACGGATAGGCCTACCGGCAGCCTACCCGCAGGCCTACGGGTAGGCCTACCGGTAGCCTACCCATAGGCCTACGGGTAGGCCTGCCGGTAGCCTACCTATAGCCCTACGGATAGGCCTACGCGTAGGCTGCCGCAGACTCTACCGACAGGCCTACGCGTAGCCAGCCGTAGGCCCTACAGCTAGGGCTACGGGTAGCCTATACGTCTGGGCTTCTTTACCCAACAACAACAACAACAACAACAACAACAACAACAACAACAACGACACATGTAAATACAAAACCCGCACGCAAAACATGTCGTTGTGTACATACTTGTTACACATCTTGGTTCGTACATGTATATTATAAGAACAAGCAAAGGGCAAGGCAGGAACAGTGGTGTAAGCTACTTCCTCGCATCCTTGGTGCTCGTTTCCCATCCCATTGGGGAGGTCCTCCCAGAACCATCCAACAGGCTGCCGTAGAAGAAATTCCCATATAATGCTCCTAGATAAAGACAGGAATTCTGGAGAATAACCTGAAAGATCGGCAAACTTCTCCCGACGGGATTCCTCGAAAGGTTTTGATTCCAAAAGAAAGATTAGGAAACTAGTTGAAGAATCAACAGATTCATATCAAGCAACCAATCTGTCAGGATACTCCCGGAAGCTCTCAGCACAAGGCGTAGCGCCGGTACACGAGACTAGGCACCTTTGCTCAAGACAAGCAACAAGCCGAGTCGCGGAATTTCCACAGCAGCCTGGAGAAACATTGCGTAGTACGTTGCATGAAGAGTGCTGTGTCTTTTTTGTACCTGGCTAGTATGGCAGACTTGTGAATCAATTGACGTGCGTTCTGATGACTAGAGAGTTCATGAGCATGCATGCGCGAGATTGTTGTGCGTTTGCTGGTCGCCGAGGCCACCATGCAGTCATCTGAAGTGGCCACGAACAATCAAGCAGCAACTGCGACAACGCCACAGTCGTCGCAGCAAGGCATTCTCGACCGGGTTTTTGTGAATACAAACGGTCGAAGCCACAGCGCAGCAACAGAATGCGATGAGATGCAGCGTTCTTTTAGAGATGTTGTTCTTGGAAATCCAACCTGTCCCTGCAGATGTGGCAAGCACTCGGAGATGTGGAGCCCGGCTTAGAATGAGCCCATTGCGATTCAGCCCACTTGCTCATGGACATACCTTCTTACAGAACATTCTGCGTGCTCTCCGTGCAGTCGAGCTGCGCAAGCACGCCCGCTGTGTCCAGGACGTAGCCCATCGCGAACATCTGCGAGGCCTTTGCTGAATTTCTTGCAATGATGCAAAAGCCTGCTGGATGACATGGAAGTACGAAACTGAAGCTTCAGCCAACCTTGGACCTGATTTGTTGGATTAACCCTAAACCCTAATGTTGCACCCTGTTTAGTGTGGGGCCCCCCCCCCCCCCCCCCCCCCCCCCTGAACAGTCGCGGGGGTGGATGGGATCCTGATTACACGGCCCGGGGGCTCGTATGATTTTAAAAGGGAGGAGTTTAGATAGGTTCAAAAGGGGCAGCGATGCCCGGTTATCCTTTTTAAAGGCGCGCCACGTGGAATTTTCTTACGGCGCCCGGACGATTTGTCTTTAAAGAGGGACTCCCAAACAGTCAGCGTGTCCTGAATAATTCGGCCAGTTTGTCTTTAAAGCGGGGGCCGATACTAAACAGGGTGCAACATTAAACCCTAAACACCAAACCCTAAACCCTAAACCCTAAACTCTAAACCTAAACTATGCTCTAAATCCTGACAGGGAACGGACCACCAGCGCTGAATCACCAGAGCCGTGCGACAGAGAAGAGCATTTGAAGCGGCCTTCTGCCTGCACTTTTATTTTTTTCTCACAGGGCGGTGACACTGGGGTTTTAGGGTTTAGGGTTTAGGGTTTCTAGCAGCGTCTTCGGGGATGAGGTTTTGGATGCTGACAGGTGAGGGCAACTAGGTTTTGAAAGGCAGCATCCCAACGCACGACCGGCCGGCGCACTGGTTATTGTTGCGCCAAGGCGTCACTGCAAATGACGGACGCACAGGGATTTTCGCGATGTCTTGGAAGCCGAGGATCTTTGGTCCGACTGGCATGCCCGAAACCCCGAATCCCTTCAAGGCCAAGCGTCCTGCCCTCCAGCAGCAGAGAGGACTGGAAACCGGTTTTTCGCATCGCATCATGCTACAGTTTCTTTGAGACCATGTGAACCCAGGATCGGCCGAAAGTGGATCTTTTTGAAATGTTGATGGATGGGGTGGAGCCATGAAAGCAGATGAAATCAATGGCAGCTCGATCCAAGTATGGTCTGATAGTCAGCTTGGTTCCGGAATCATGGTCTTGGCAGCAGGTTTTGCAGGTTTCCATCGGTGAGGGCTCAGAACGGCTGCTGCAGACTTCGTTGCGTGGCCACTTCGGTACATTCGGGGCTGTGTGTGTGTGTGTGTGTCTGCATCGAATCAACGCTACACCTGAGGGCCTTGCCCCCGCACGATGAGGGAACATGAGGGGCTTCGACAAATGGTCCCAGAAAAATGACCTTGTCATGAGTCATGAAGAAAAGAACCAAGGAACTTCACTTGGTCGCCTGAAGCTCTGTACAGACAGCCTTCAAACCCTCTTCAACTTCCCTGCGAAAAACGCTCTCATGGGCATTTGCAAGAGCAAAGGCCCCTTAGCTGCGAAGCTGCAAATTGCCAGGACGGTCCAGCTTCACAAATTGACCCATAGACGTCAACTGTCCTCGAGTTCCTGCGCGCAGTCATGCAGTGGAGTGTTGTGCTGACCATTCCTGACCAAGCAGACCATACCTGTGCGCAGCGTATCCATGGAAATCTGCTGCTGGCGGAGAAAACTGAGACTAGACGCCTCTCAGCTGCACATGTCAAGAAGGTGCGGCTGTGTCACGCAATGCCACGCATCCGTGCGGGATTCTCGCTGAAGTTTGTATTCCTTCTGGAGACAGTCGAAGGATGATCTCTCTAGGCCAACCGAATCTTTAGGACCTTCCGCACGGCTCGACAAAAACCCATCTGACACCAGCGAACGCTGAGACTCTGGCGTTTGCTGACATGAGTGCCGTGATCAGAAGCAGAACATGTGCGAAGCATGCACCTGCACAGGTTCATCTGCCAGTGCTACGCTTAGAATAGCATATAGCTTTGGACATGTGACGGCAGTAAAACCCTCTGAATCAGCGCTGAATGTCAAAGATCACGGCGGAAGTTGCAAACTCCTGTCTTGCAGCGAGGTCGACGCTAGGGGTAGCTGTGTTCTCAAGTGTGCCATCGTTTGGCAGCATCCGGATGCAGTCCCACCTCGTCCCTCTTGCCTATTGCATCTTCACGCAAGTTTCAGTTTCAATTTCGATTTGAACTGATTGCCACATGAAGAGCAGAGTCTCTCATGTCCACAGCGAGGAAAAAGGGTTGGGACTGTGCATGTATGATCCGTAGTACCGAGGCAATGGCCTAAGCCACCTAAGCCCTGTAAATCCCAAGCCCAGTAACAGGGGTTCAGGCCGGTAGCAGTAAGTCGCCAGGTGCGTTTTCAGTCGCAACAAAAAATGGTCCGCCATTTACCTGACAGTCGTTCAACGTGCCCATAGTCCCTGACTTCACGGAAAAGTTGCCCGGGTGCCCTCTCCTCCCTCCTCCCCCCTCTCCCCTCTCCCACGTGTAAAATTGTTTTGTGAGGGTGTACAAGGTCTGCAGAATCCACCAGTCCGCCCCAGGGTCGGTGGACAGACCCTTTCACTACCAGGCGAAAGATACTGCCAAAAGACTTCGCGAGAATTGTGATGCTGGTCTCTGTGGTTACTCTTGAACTGAATGTAGGCAAGCCGAAAGTTCGATAAAGTGGCCGCGGTAAATCTCTGCACTTTTGCGATGAACATCAATTCCCACGTGAAGGGATATTGGACGCATTGGACGCTCATCATATGTTCCTGGTGATTCCTGCTGAATCTTTCATGTCGCCGACGCCGTCGCGGCGCCTTGTGGCTCGGAAAGTCAACAGCACGAAACGGACTGCCATGTTGGCCTTAATAACTCCTTGTGCTTGATTGTGGAAGTACAAGCAGGTGAAGGGGTGCATGCATACAAACTTGGACTACTGTGGGTCCCAAAAGAGAGCCTCGAGAGGATGGAATCGGAGGCCGGTGTCTGGGTGTTGTCTGGGTGTTGTCTGGTGTCCTGCAGTGCGCTGCCGCTGACAGCTTCGCACAAGCGTGGTGCCCAAAGAACAGTCTGCGTACCCGCTGCGGTTGGCTCATTTGAGCGGTAGCAGAGATCTTCTGGTGCCTCCGCACACGGCGACATGGGCAAGCCACGCGGAATCCGATGTGCCCGTAAAATGAGGGTTCACCGGAGGGAGGCCTTGTGGGCGGACAAGGACCCGTGCAACTCCATCAGGGCCATCCTGCCTTGCATGTCGGTAAATTATGGCCATGACGGCAAGAAGAGCTAGCTCGTTGAAAGTCTGCGTAGGGAGTGAGTGGGCAGGACTACAAGAAAGCGAACCTGGGCACCAAGTACAAGTGCAATCCTTTCGGAGGCCACCGCCTAGGTTGAGCCGGAGCACTCAAGCCATGCATGCAGAAACTGCGGAGGCACTTCCCATGCCAAGGGCATCGTAGTTGAGAAGATTGGCATCGAAGCAAAGCAGCAGCTGGGCTGCAGGAAGGAGAGTGTGCACGTTGTCGTAGCTAGGTTTTCTCTCGCGAAATCCAGCCGAAGACCAACCAAGCCATGATCGCAAATTTCTTTTCCATATCATTAAGGCCAAATTCGGCCATCCGCAAGTGCTGCCGCAGCCAGCTCGGTGTTCGTTCGCACTGCTCAGAGTGCAGTCGTCCAAGTGCCGATGGCCAAAAGGTGTTCAGCTGATCAAGAACGGCAAGAAGATCGCAGCCTTCGTCCCCAGGCCACTTGTCCTACAGACCCCTTGTTCTACCAACTGTTTTCGATTCTCGCCGGCCTCGCAACCGCCCCGCTGACAAGGGATGGTTGCTTGAACTTCATCGATGAGAACGACGAAGTGCTGATTTCGGGATTCGGGCGACGAGGTCACGCAGTTGCCGCCCCAGGAGTGTCACGAGCGCGATTGGCAAGTTGTCGACAGCGGCTTCGCTTGTCCTTAAAAGTGTGGCTCCGTCAGAGCAGTGACTGTCCACGACCGGACACAGGTTGGTGACATTCCCGGCGTTCGCTTCAAGGTCGTGAAGGCGGGTCGCGGCAAGGTGCATGCGTGCTCGGCCAAGCTTAGATTCAGACTCAACCGCTGGAATTTCGAGGTGGCAGGCTGTGGTCTGGGAGCTCTGTACAGGAACAAGAAGGAGCGGCACACGCAAGCTTCACGCACATTTTTTTGACGGCCGGAAATTGCGAAAGCCAGGAAAAGCCACGTTCCTGAAGACCGGGCGGCGATCACGTGGATGGGCGCTCCATCTCAAGGGCGGACACCGGAAGAGAGATCTGCATTTGTGAGAAAAGCAGCTTCGTTTGCCGTTCCTCGTTCTGTCTCGCACTGTGAAAAGCTCTGCTTGATCGTGTGGTTGCAATCTACTTTCGGGAAGGCATCCAGAGACCATGGCGGAAAGAGTGCCTGGTGCCCGGCTGGGCTAGGACGGAAGCACTGTCTTGCGGGCAAGCGCTTAAAATCCTGTTATGAAACTTCGAAGTTAATTTTGCAACACCAAGGTCGCAACCCGCGTTGTGCTGGCAAGGACCCTTTTGGGGCCTGGAGGGCAATGCCGAGTTGATTCAGATTTGTTTTTGCTACTGCCGGTGCTGCCTCCGGGCGTTTCAGTGCCATGCTGGGTGGACAACTAGGCAAAATCTATTCGCACTTTCCACACTACAGTCAGCATCTGTCAGCATGCGCCCTGATGAAGCAGACTGAGCGCAAGCGCAACGATTGCCTGACCCTTCAAGCTTGCCTGACCCTGTCTGAGTTGTCGCCGCACTGGGTCGGCTCGTTCCGTGGTGCAACTTGAGCAGTTGCCACACAGCCCGGTGGTTTGGGGGTGCCACGGCTTGCTAGGCTTCGCAGAACCCGCAGATATCCGCAGGCTGCAGCCCGTTCCCACATGCCGCTCTCCAGTTGAACACGTCCTCACGCTAGTGGGTGCCTGCCCTACTTGTAGCATGTAGCACGCAGCCAAAGAAGCACTGGCAACATGTGTGAATCAGTTTTGCATGTTTGGGGATGCAGTTTCCAAAAAGAGCGCCTGCTTTGTGTTGAGGGTTGACGTTGCCGAAAGCTTGCGCAACAGTTTAGCCCATGACGTGCGTGTCGCGCAGCCTTTAGAGCTTGAGAACCGACTATGGCAGCCATCAATTTAAGCCCTCTACACATGTTTGGATTTCGTTGAAGTTACGCCCTGTCCGTCACCTTTCACATCGTCGGCTTAGGCCCCCTGCTCAGCAGCAAAAGATCCGAGTTCAGCAAAGCAGTCATGCACCAGGGCGTGAGGCTTCAGTCCATGGCGAAGTTTTGCGCGGAGGCGCATGTCCAAAGGCGCGCTCGGTCGCATGCTGCATAGAAATTATGAAAGCTCACGATTGGAGCAGGACTATCGGTTCAGGGTTGTATCAGCGAACGTGAACTGAGTGTCGGCTCAGGTAGCCACGCCGATCGGCGTGCACAGCGACAGGCGGCCTTATACTTGCCGGATCATTACTGATCGTGGTTCCCTGAAAAACTGCCCCTTCCTGAAGGCGATGCCTGCAACAGGGTCTCCATCGACAAAGAAGCTACTTGGACAGCATGATCCTGTAAATGAAGCCGTTATCAGCCACTGAGCTAGTGCTAGCAAAAATCGAGCAGCACCTTTTTTGTTTTTTTTGCAAGCATAAGGAAGCGGTCTTCTTCTCACGACGCCAGCACCAAGGCTGGCGGCCTGATTGTGACAAATTGTGTCGATCACTTACCCGAAGCAGCTTGTCTTCTTGCAGGTGTCCAAGAAAAAGGCCTCCCGGTCACGAGACGATGACAAGAGGAGGCCGGTGTCTGGGTGTTGTCTGGGTGTTGTCTGTAGTCCTGCAGTGCGCTGCCGCTGACAGCTTCGCACAAGCGTGGTGCCCATCTATCTGCACGGAGTATCAGGGCAAAGAACAGTCTGCGTACCCGCTGCGGTTGGCTCATTTGAGCGGTAGCAGAGATCTTCTGGTGCCTCCGCACACGGCGACATGGGCAAGCCACGCGGAATCCGATGTGCCCGTAAAATGAGGGTTCACCGGAGGGAGGCCTTGTGGGCGGACAAGGACCCGTGCAACTCCATCAGGGCCATCCTGCCTTGCATGTCGGTAAATTATGGCCATGACGGCAAGAAGAGCTAGCTCGTTGAAAGTCTGCGTAGGGAGTGAGTGGGCAGGACTACAAGAAAGCGAACCTGGGCACCAAGTACAAGTGCAATCCTTTCGGAGGCCACCGCCTAGGTTGTGCCGGAGCACTCAAGCCATGCATGCAGAAACTGCGGAGGCACTTCCCATGCCAAGGGCATCGTAGTTGAGAAGATTGGCATCGAAGCAAAGCAGCAGCTTGGCTGCAGGAAGGAGAGTGTGCACGTTGTCGTAGCTAGGTTTTCTCTCGCGAAATCCAGCCGAAGACCAACCAAGCCATGATCGCAAATTTCTTTTCCATATCATTAAGGCCAAATTCGGCCATCCGCAAGTGCTGCCGCAGCCAGCTCGGTGTTCGTTCGCACTGCTCAGAGTGCAGTCGTCCAAGTGCCGATGGCCAAAAGGTGTTCAGCTTATCAAGAACGGCAAGAAGATCGCAGCCTTCGTCCCCAGGCCACTTGTCCTACAGACCCCTTGTTCTACCAACTGTTTTCGATTCTCGCCGGCCTCGCAACTGCCCCGCTGTTAAGGGATGGTTGCTTGAACTTCATCGATGAGAACGATGAAGTGCTGATTTCGGGATTCGGGCGACGAGGTCACGCAGTTGCCGCCCCAGGAGTGTCACGAGCACGATTGGCAAGTTGTCGACAGCGGCTTCGCTTGTCCTTAAAAGTGTGGCTCCGTCAGAGCAGTGACTGTCCACGACCGGACACAGGTTGGTGACATTCCCGGCGTTCGCTTCAAGGTCGTGAAGGCGGGTCGCGGCAAGGTGCATGCGTGCTCGGCCAAGCTTAGATTCAGACTCAACCGCTGGAATTTCGAGGTGGCAGGCTGTGGTCTGGGAGCTCTGTACAGGAACAAGAAGGAGCGGCATACGCAAGCTTCACGCACATTTTTTTGATGGCCGGAAATTGCGAAAGCCAGGAAAAGCCACGTTCCTGAAGACCGGGCGGCGATCACGTGGATGGGCGCTCCATCGTAAGGGCGGACACCGGAAGAGAGATCTGCATTTGTGAAAAGCCCGTTTGCTATCACGCATGTCAGTCCCATCATAGCAAAGCGAGGAGCGTTGAGAAATGTAATGCGTTGGCCTGGTCAGGAAGGCAAAGTCGCGCTCGCGAAATCGCTCCAAAGATCGAGAGCGATCGTTGGATGCCCAATGCTAGCTTTTAAATGCTAGCTGTTAGCTGTCTTAAATTGCGCATAGTCGGTGCATCCACTGAGGCGCGACAGAGACAAGCGACGGCGCAGAGGCCTTGGAGCACCCAAGTAAATCCTAAGCTGATAATGTTACATCCCAAGCCAGAAGCTCATGTCCTTTCAGTCGGGGCCCGGCTTGATACACTGAGCTTGATCAACATGTAGCGTATAGACAGCAGCAATGACATCGACGTCGTGCAAAGACCCGGTTTCGTCCCGTATTGTCGTTGCAAGACTGAGGCTTTACATTTGAAATATTTGGAGCTTGCATTCCCAGTCCCATGAAACTGTGGGTTGGTGGGTGCCCAGCTATTGCCCACGTGACATGAGAGGCAGCACGTTTGCTTTGCATCGGACAAAGCTTCAGATTCCCTAAACCTGTCTAAATCCAGTCTCAGCCGGTGTTGCCAAGAGTCTCGTGTACGGGGCGTGTGCAGCTTGTGCCAGATGGTTCCGATGACAGCCGTCGACGGAGAGACAACCGCAGGCATTTGAAGGTTGCTTTCCAGGTAACTCTCGAGGTGCGCGCGAACTCGCTCCCGATAGAGCCTTGCGCAGGCGCCAGCGCGCCTCGAGTTCCAGTTCGCTGCCGGTGCGCTTCAGAGAGAGCAGTCCCTAAACCCTAAACCCTAAACCCTAAACCCTAAACCCTAAACCCTAAACCCTAAACCCTAAACCCTAAACCCTAGACCCTAAACCCTAAACCCTAAACCCTGAAGCCTGAACCCTGAACCCTGAACCCTGAACCCTGAACCCTGAACCCTGAACCCTAAACAAAATTGGATTTTTTTTTCGAAGCCAGGTTCGACGGAGGCGGTCTCCGGACCGGAGGCGATCTCCGGAGCGGAGGTGGGCACACGGGTTGTAAAAATACTATTTGGGGGCCTTTATTGGGGGGCCTCTTGTTTTACAATTATGGTAAACCCCCATGTTGTCTTCCTGAGACCTGTCCGTAGGCGAACCCGAAGTCCTGATCGGGCTCGCGAGCGCGATAGAGATCGCAAAGCCCGCAGAAAGGACCGGCTTGAAAAAAAGAATTTTCTGACGTACCTTGGTTGACGTTGTAGGCATGTCTTCTCGTATTTCTCGCAGAGGGCAGAAACTGCCAAAAGCTTTTGTGTACAAACGCAACATAACGCAACTTCCCGCCGGGAGCCATCACGCAGGATTCGAGCTCTGATGCCGAAGCCCCAGTGTTTGTCGGATGGCAAAGCTTGACAAAGCGGCACTGACAGCCTCGAGGATCGAAAGAGCAAAAAGAGCAACAAGGCACGTAATGGCACATGGAGGATCTGTCGTGGTTGGTTTCCTCCATGACAGGACAACAACTTTGACAAGGAGGTGATTGATGTCAGACCGGGGACAGAGGAGCCCGAAAGCCCTAAGTCCGGAGCCCTAAGTACCCGAAAGCCCTAAACCCCCAAAGTGCCCAAAGTGCCCAAACCCCAAATCTAGCGCAGTCTTCCGTGCAAGGAGACCAATGGCGACCAGAAGGACAGGCTGGCACGCTCTTCGCGTTTCAGCCCCATCGAGGCCGGGTGTTTCGGTTTGATTAGGATGGTTTAGGGTTTAAGGTTTAGGGATTAGGGTTGAAGGTCTAGGGTTTGGGGCTTCAGTTAAGGGCCATGTAGGGTTTAGGACAGCATAGGGGCAGGAATGTTCGGGAGGCGAACTTTTTTTGTGCAGAGGCCCACCAGGTCCCGTTGCTGAACCCGTACGCCAAGGGCTCTTCCGAGGCCCAAGTTTCCTTTTTGCTCCCTTTATGTCTAGTTTCTTCACGCTGCGCGGCGCGACTCACCTCTGCCGGGGTCCGTGGCGAGGCAGGGAGAGGCAGAGTGGGGTGGGCGGGAGGCAGGGGGTAGGGGTGGGAGGGTGCACCCCATTTTACCACTAGAGCTGCGTTTTTTTTAGGCGCTGGAGCATAGGTACTTTGCAGCGGACATGATTATTGTCCGCGGAAGGGGTGAAGAGGTGAACAAGATTCCGCGGAAGGTCGCGGAAGGGTCCGCGGAAGCCGTGGTGTCCGCGGAAGGCTCGCGGAAGGGCGGCGTGCTTGAAACTTAGATATAGTGGATGCCCAACATGCCCGGCAACCGTTTCGGAGAGCGGATCTGCGCGGAAGGCCCGCGGAAGGGTTGCGGAAGCTCCGCGGAAGGCGACGGGTCGTTTTGGAGGCCTAGAGTCCATGCCTCATCCTCATATATACACATTATACACTCATTTCTGTTTCGGCCCGGGTGCGAAGGTGGAATCGCGTTTTTCCGCGGAAGGCTCGCGGAAGGAACGCGGAATCCGCGGAACACGCCGCGGAAGGCCGCGGAAGGGTCCGCGGAAGGGTTATAATGTCCATCGATTCATGCTAGAGAAAAAAACACGGCTCACTAGAAGCCCGGCTTTATTGCCAAAACCCCTACTTGACAAGAGGAACCTGGTTGTAAAGTGGGTGCTCTGGTTGTAAAATAGTCAGAAGATGGCTTAATCGCGTGTGTCGGGAGGGGCGGGAGGGAAGGGGCGCAAACTCGGAACAGGGCCCGGGGGGAGGGGTGGCTGCTTCATGTTACCCAGACTGCCGCGGCCCGAGGCCTCGGCGGATTGTCATTTCTCTTCACTGGCTTCTGTTGTCCAGTTCTATCTCTTTCTCTTGTTTGTCCTTTCTATTCATTTCTCGCTCTCTCTCTCTCTCTCTGTGTCTGTCTCTGCCTCTCTATTTCCTTTCTCGTTTCTGAATTGTTTCTGTCTGTCCGTTTGCGTACACATTGACATACTTCGTACACCGCTGCCTGCATATTTTCTTCGGGAAGGCGCTGCGCCTGGATGCGGCGCGGTTGGAAGTAGCGGGGATCCCATCATCACTCCTTCAGCTGCTTTGGGTGCTACGGACCTTTTGCAGTGGCAAGCTTTTGTTGCGGCAATGTTTGGTTGTGCTGCATCCGCGTGGTGGATGCTGGTGATATCTTCGAGTATGTCCCGTGCACCCACGCGCGACCCAGGCAAGGCTGAAAGCAATGGGGAAGATGCCGCCACCGCAGCTGCTAAAGGAGGCTCACCAGAGAGGATTTACGGGCACGATGTTAAGACGAATGGGCAGCAACATTGTCTCCTGTCAGGTTGCTGTCGGAGCACAGGCCGCAGCAATCGCGGCACCAGCCAAGTCACCGGCTGCACATCCCCAAGCGGCCTGCATCACCTGCACGTGAAATTGGCACTTTCACAGATTCGTGGACAAGACTCCGATGCCCTGAGTGAGGTTGAAAAGCCCAAACCCAAGAAGACAGCGTGCCTTGCTCAGATGACTGACGCCCCTGGAACAGACACTCCTCCTCTGACGATTGCTTGTTCTTTGTGCTATCAGCTATTCGCCGTCGATTCGCTTTCTCTGCTCCACACATCTCCACGCCTGAGGCCCGCGCCGTGGATGGCTGCTCGCGCGGTGTTTGCCAACAAGGTGACCCTTGCGCATACAGCGGGATCGGGACAGGGAAGGCAAACGCGGCCAGGGCAGGCGATAGACTTCGGATTTGCAGCATGCTGCCCCTGTGCAAAGCACGCGTACCAGCGAACATGCCCCCCCCCCCCCCCCCCCCCCGAGGTTGCGAAGCCAGAGTGCACAGACTCAGATGTCGTTTGACAGGATGGCGAAGGTTCCAAAGCTTCTGAACCAGTGCAGACCTTAGCCGCCTTAGCCGCCTTAGCCGCCTTAGCCCTGTGCATTCTCTCAACTGTGAACTTGCGCTCCCAAGTACAAAAAGTTCAGAACTTGGTATGCGCAGGCCACGCCCGGCAGCCAGGAAGGCAAAGAAGCCAAAGATACTAAAGAAAGCAAAGATGGTATCGACTGCCTATTTGCACTGGGATGTTTCGAGCCAATTTTGAGTTCGGCATAGTTCCACGGTTTCTCTGTTTCAGTGTGCAGTCGCCATGCCGCTATGACAGGTGCCAAGAACATCAAGAAGCTTGGCATTTCCGAGCTTTCAGAGCCAGACTCCCAGGGTACCAAGTACTGTCTGCACTTTCCCATGCGACAGCCGACGAGCTATGGAATTAGAGCGATCATTGTGCCGGCACAGCAGTATCAACATGGAACGCATAGAAAGTGACTCGACAGCGCACTCCAGGGGCCTCGGTCCAGGGGCCTAGAGACATCTAGAGACGATCCTCTCCCTTATCCCTCAGGCTGTCAAAGGCCATTGCAGAGGACCGAAACAAGCTTCGCCTCTTTGTGGTCAAGGCAAGAGATGTTTGGAAAAGAGTGCGCAACCGTGAAAGCAACCATAAAGCAACCGTGAAAGCAGGGGATGCAGCCTGCATCGTCGGTGTCGTGTCCGTTGCTTTCGGCATGGCCGCCTGTGCGAAGGCCAAAGCAGACTTTGAAGAGCGCAAGGAGAAGGCCCCACTCTGACTCCGCTTGAAGGAAGCTGTGTAGGTAGAAATCCCCATGGCAAGGCAAAGGCCCTCCATCAAGCAGTCCAGATGGGCGAGACGGATGAGAACGAGTCACCTTCTCCAATTTCATCATGTTTAGCTAGGTGCTGCCTGTGTTATTCTGGATGCTGTTCTGAGAGTTGCCAGCATAGTCCGGGGGTGGAAGCCAAGGTACTACTCAGCTTCAGTTGGCGAGGAAATGGGGCCCAACCGCTGCTACAAAGTTGAGGACGGCTGACTATCAGCTCGCGTGTGCGTTTGAGCAATGATGCTTGGGAGTAGTGTTAATCCGTAAACGCCGGGCTGAGGCAGTAGCTACAACGGTGGGGGGTCGAACAACGCTAGGGCCGCATCAGAAAACGCACAGACTCCAGTCCGAAAACAGCCAGGCCCCAATCGGAAAACCAATCTAGCAGCCTCGGCGGGAAGCCATGCCGGCCATGTTGTTTTGTTTAAAGCCCCGTGTGCGCCATCGGAGATCTTCAAGGCAATCCGAAAGCGGGAAGGGTTGCATGAAAGTGCAGAAGGCCTCAGTGGGAAGACGCATCTTCCTCGGCAACTTTAGCCCGGGGAAGCGACGCGCGATTGTGGCGATGGTGTACTTTCTCACGTTTGCTGAGACGGAGTCCTGCGTTTTTCGATGAATGCCTTTTCGGTTGTTAGGCTGGAGGCTTTGGAGGCTTCGGATGCGGCCAGATGTCCAGCTGCCGCGTCCAACGCATTTTGATTGGTTTCCTTCGTTTCCTGACTGTCGCGCTTTCTGATTTGTAGCCTTCAAACACGGCCCGTCGGCTGACTTACCAGTTTCTGCCGTTTTTTGACTCGGCCTCCACGTTTCTCATTCAGCCCGGCCCGTTTTCCGAATGTTTCTCTTTCGCTCCGCCCGTCTTCCGACTGAGGTTTTGCGTCTTGCACCAGCTGTTTCTGATTCAGCCAGTGATGATTCTCGTTGCTAGTGACGGCTTCGTGAGGCTGCCATTGGAAGAGGCGTCTTCTCCAGCGTGTACCACTGCAAGGGCTTGAAGGACTATTGGACTTGCAAGGAAGTTCAGGCAGAGGGAGAGGCAGCGAGAGAGAGAAGAGAGAAGAGAGAAGAGAGAAGAGAGAGAGAGAGATATGTACCTGCACAACGCTGCAGGACGGAAAGGATTATGCTGTCAAATTGATCAGAGCAAACGCGATGATGCGCCGGGCAGCTGACAAGGAGGCCTTACGCTGGCAACGCTTAATGAGAAGGCAAACGTGCTAATCTAAGCCAGCCCAGGGTAGATCAGAAGTTCTCGCAGCAAAGGTGGAGATGTACAAGCGGCTGGAGAAAAGTTCTTCAGAAGATGCTGAGGTGCATTGCACCCGCAGCTGCCAGTTTGGACGGTCGGTGTCCGCACGCTGCTTCACCAGATTTCGCCAGGGCTTTAAGCATGTCATCATCCTCTCCGATCTACAAACGTTTGAGCACAATGGCCACTTGAGCCAGCAGCTCAGGTTCGTCCGTTCGTTGGTATGCTAAGGCTGCTTCGTTGCTACGTACGTTCTGTACATTCTGCACCCATGCCCACTGCCAAGGTCTTGTCTTTGACTTGCTTAAGTGCGACATGCGGTTTGCTTTGCAGAAGTGGCTCGGCTGATGCTCGGAACTGGTGTCTATAGTACTTATAAGTACTACACGCATAGGTCGGAAGCAGCTTGTGCAGCAACTTGTGATGCGCAACACTTCCCAGGTACGGCATGGGTGCAGGCCTCCCGCTGCCCACCTTGCAGCAGTACGTGAGGCCAGTTCTGGTGCCATCTGGTGCCACTAGCTCTTTAGGCAGTATTCCGATTCTTAGTCGGTACGTGGATTGGAAGGGCAACCTTGGGCTGGCGGCTTCTGTGACAGCAGCAGATGAAAGGATACAAGTATGTGTTTCCCCGAAGCCTGGCACGTCGAGTATCCGAAGCTGGGCGTCTCCACGACTGGGCTGTGCAGGCAGATTCTGCTGGGACTGCGTGCTTTACGAGCCGCAAAAGTGAAGAACTGAGAGACGGCACAGAGCTTAGGAACCAGGCTGCCCTGCTACTCGCATCACCAAGGTAGTGCATGCAGATCTGAAGCCCGACAATATTCTCATGACGCTGAACAAGGCTTGCAGACCTTGTTGTGTGTCAGGTTTTCGGGGCTTTTCTGGCAGTTGCTCAGTTTGGAGGCAGAAATCAAGATCTGCGACTTCGGTAGTGCCATGGATGCGTCGGAGCAGGTGAAGACTGCGTGCCCTCATTGGGTAGCCATGGTAGCGCTGGTTAGGGGGCACTATTGACATGTCTAGACTGGACTGGTTATACGGTTCAGACGATGTATGAAAAGGTGTGTGTGTGTGTGTGTCTGCCTGGGTGGGGCTCTCTCGTCTTTGTCACGTGCAGCACATCCAGGTACCTCCAGCCACGATACTACCGAGCTCCGGAGATCATGCTGGGAGTTCCGTACGACATGGGCATTGATATGTGGAGCGCAGGTGATGGGCTTCCCACCTTGAACCCTTTCTGCCTCGAGCATGTGCCACAGGAACCACGATCTATGAGCTGGCCACGGGGAAAATCTTGTTCACTGGCAAGACGAACAACCAAATGGCACGGTCCTGGGAGGGCATCGCCGTGCGTAGCCTTGAGAACCGCCTAAGATGAGTTTGCCATGTGCTGCCATCTGGTGCTGCACTGGAAATTTCGACGAACCTAGATGAACAAGATGATCTCTGTGGTGGGGAAGTTCCCGGAAAGGATGTGGAAAGTCGGAGAATTTGCAAGGCGCGGTTGAGCACAAGTTGATGACTTCACGAGGCCATGGTGCAGGTGAGAAGTCCGCATGTGCCTGAAGCCCTGAAGGAAGCATTTCAATGAAAATGGTGACTTCATGAGCAAGGACTGCCCCATCGCTCAAGGGTCCCACAGGTCCCACAGCAAGTTTGAAATACAAGGTGACGTGGACGGAGGCAGGTTCAGTTGTGGTTCCTGTTGTGCGTCTGCAGATGTAGGACCCCGACTCCATAACTGGACTTCCAGACGTCGTACAGCTGCGGGCTTCTCAGGGTTTTTGTGCTTCCTTCGGCTTACCGAGAGTATCTGGAGTCCTCAAAATTGCGCCAGGTCAAAGCCCACAAGGACGGTGCTGAATCTCCTGCAGGTGATCCTGGCATTCGTTCGTGGCTCTCGACACATTGAAACAATTGAAACGTGCTGAGAGGCCGAGCTGAAACATCCCAATGCCGGTGTGGAGCGCAAGGACCACGAGAAATGGGTTGTGCAGCTTGCAGAGTTGGTTGGAAGCTCACAATGGGCTCACAAGCCACGGCAAGTCCCGACTCACAGACGGCCTTGTTCCTGCTGTTCTCCCTGGCATCTCACACGAAGGTCGGCAGTTGCTGCCGGCTCGACCCGCAAGACCGAATGAAGCCGGGTGAGGTTGGGTCACGGCGTCTATGTCGTACCAGATCGTACCATCACAAGCTCTCGGCTCTCCAGGCTGTGGAGCTGCAGTTCTTCAAGCCATCAAGAGACGCCTGAAAGGCACAACAGGCGCAGCGCTGACTCGTGGTGCCATATGGGGGGGGGGGCACATGGGGCCTTTCCTGCCGCAATGCCCAGGTCTGACCCCAGAATCTCCACCGACGACGCCTGGCTGCTGCCGGAGTGCTAGCCTCAGCAAGACTGCTTAGCTGCTTAGTCAGGCACCCCCGGGAGCAAGAAACGCGTCACGCGCGCCGAGCCCCATCGCTCTGCAGTGCAGCGCGGAGGAAAAGGAGGCTGAAGTGTCGGTGCCAAAATCTGGGAGGTTGGGTCCAAACTGCTTGGTAGGTGTCCTGGGTCCTGGCCGCCACGGCCAGTTTATCCTGATGGGTCGAGGAAAGGCTTAAAGGGGAACAATGCCCCAGAAACACTTAGTCCCCTTCCTGCAGTCACACCTCATGTCGTCGATTGTTTCCTTGAATTCCAGAGCTAGGGCTCACGGCCCGCGATCGAGTGCGAGAAGTGCGTGATGACGCAAAGATGCTGGCCAATGTTGCCTTCACCAGGACGGCAACTTGCACATGTTGGGCCCGAGTTGTCAGTTGCACGAGATTGGTTGCAGTCTGGTGGCTGTGTTTGAAGCGGATGGTTTTATCGGTCTGCCAGGGCATGTGTCCACACAACTCGAATGCTTGCGGTTTGGGGGTGCTTCAGTAATCCATTGTAGTGCTTAGGGTCAGTACTCGGCAGCACATGTTGGATCATGTTGGTGTCCAAGCTCAGTCCAGGCAGCGCAAGGCCCTGGCCGTGCGCCACTGTGACTTGGTCATCAGGCACCAAGGGCACCCAAGGACTGGAAAAGTGCTCCTTGCCGTGCCTCCCGAAAAGACACCCTCCTCACCTTAGGCCACCCTTGGGGTTGCTTTCTGAATTTCTCTTTCGTATGGTTCGTTGCCGCACTTTGATGCCCTGAAATGTTCGGTACGTAGACTGCCACAGACCGACCTTTGTGCCAACCCCAGGTGTATTCCTGCTTTTCCGTTCCTTCACTTGAAGCTATGATTGGAGGCACGATGGCAATGAAATGCCCTACTACAGAGAGGTTTAAAACTCCCACGCGAGGTTACACGGCTTTAAACTGGGTCTGTCGAGAGCTGGGTAGCTGCTTGCATGTTGCCTCAAGGCAGGGCTGGTCGCGGGCTTCCAGGCCAGCTGTCTGTCGTTTGTGCCGCAGCCATTGCCTTTCGAGACGCCTTTCGTCTATACAGGGATGCAAGATGCCCAGTGCGGAAGGCCTAGAGATGCCTACAGATTGTCCTATAACTGTGTCATCTAGTAACCATACAGGGCGAACACAAAGCGCGCGACCGTAGGCGTCCATCGGCTGCACGGAGCACTATCCCTGTTGCCTGTTCGGACATTGTTGGACTTCTCTCATGAATCTTAGAAGCTTAGCAAGTCCAGTGTGCCTGTGCGTCGAGAGAGAGTCCTGTAGAGCTGTGTCCCGTGCACTGCGGCGCTGGCGTACACACACGAGTCATCTCCGTTGAACACTTGATCTCACTCTCCCAAATCGCGCTTTTGCCAAACCGCACTGCTGCAATGTGCGAAGATCTTGTGAGCACATCGAGCTCTTCGTCAATTCTGGGCGTGATTGAGAAGGGCAGATTCACGGATTCAAGGCCATCTCGCTGCCTTTGATGACCGCTCTTCTTTTGAGAGAGGGAGGGCCGATGTGATCCGTAGTTGAATGACTTGGTCCCTAGTCTAGAGGCACCTGCAATCACTGGACGTATGCTCGTGCCCCACATTGCCCATCTTTCACTTGCCGTCATGGGGCCTGTGTTCGGCATGATGATACCAGGATATACCAGGGTGAGATGGCTGAAGGTTGGTTGAGTCAGCATAGTTTCGAGTGCTCTGCAGAGTCGTTCATGGGTCGCACTCCTTCCAGGAACAGGTCAGAAGCGACCTGCGCTGGCAATAGCTCCATGTCGACAGGGTTGGAGCAAGTGCCGCAGACCGTGTTGTGCTGTTTTCTCTGCACTTGTCCAAAGTTTGGAGCTTCCGGTTGAGCAGAGGCGGAGTTCTTTGCCACACACGCGGCAGTGCTGCCATGGGCAAGGAAGAGGTTTCATGTGAATTATTGCCATGCTGTTGCAGGCATGGTAGGCAAGACCTACACTGTGCAAGAGCGCACTTCTCTTCACATGCACACATCAAGCCTTTCTTCTCCATGTTTGAATTGAATGGAGAGCAGGCTCTCGGACGAAGAAGTGTTGGAGCCTTTACCAATCTCATGTTGGCGTGGGAGCTTTGTGCAAGCTCTAAACTCTCTCAGAATATGCAAAAACCGTACGTAAGTAGACACGAAACGTTGGCGCTTCTTCTCAGAAGGCATCCTGTGCTGATAAAAGTATGGACCTTATGTCGTCGTACATATAGTTACCCTTCCGCGTGCGAGGACATGCATCTTCCGAAAACTTAGGTGCCACAGCAGCGCTGCAGCTGGCACTCTGAGCGAGACACCGCATCACGTATGCCATCAAATAGCCCGACATGGCTGCATGCTCGACATGGCTGCAAGCTCTCAGAGTCTGCTCGTTGAGCATTTAGTGTTTCACCTTGTGTGTCGCATGCAATCGCAACCTCCTGGCGCGAAAATGCATTGTCCCACTCTAGATGGAAACACGGCTGCACCGCGACCCAGGTGATTGCAGCCAGTACTCGGAAAGCCTGGGAAGACCGAGCTTAGAAGAAACGGCATTCAGTCAGTCGAGTCAACCATACGGCCCAGGGGCGGCTAATGCTGCTACTGATGTCCGAACGGTCTTCGCAGTTCCAGGTGCCAGAGAACCTAAGCGCTTGAGCAAAAAGAAGAGAAGTCCGACATGGTGTCGGTTTTATGGCAAGTGAAAGGCATGGAAAAGGCTTGGGCTTTTGGTGGCATCTGGCATGTTTCTTGACTGTTGGAAGATCTGGAAGCCTTGGGCTCAGCAGGATCATCGCGGATGTAGCCTGCAGCCTGCTTGTCTCTTCAGGAGCTCTTTGCTCCATTGGCCCGGTTTGTGAAGCCCATGGCGAAGCAGATCCCCGAGGGGAAGCCAGGAGACTCTTCCGTCATCGATCTGAAGTCCGAGGAGGGTTGTCCGGCGGCCTGGCCAGCCACTTTCATCAATCTCAAGTCCAAGCCACGGGGCCCGAGTGAAGTCAATCCTTGGGAAGACCTGAACAAGGTACTGGCCGTCAGGATAGCAAAGGACAAGATAGACGCGAGAATGACGTGATATCACGGGGCCAATCCGATGCGAATGGGAGTTCTTGTACATAGATGTTGCGCGCCTCCAGACGACCGGTGCTGCCGGGCTGCGCGCCAAAAACGCGGGCAAGGGCCGCGCACGTCCCTGCACGACTTGTTCGCATGGTGTGTTCGTTATCGTGGTGATTAGTACGTTGTGATACAGAGCCAGCAATAAAAAAGAAAGCCCTGGCTCGAGGGAATCGGTAGAGGCGCAAGTTCTCAAAGAGCAGGATCCAAGGCATATGAACCTCGGTCGTTTAGGTCCTCTTTGCATTCCTGGGTACTAATGTCAAGGACACTTGAGCTGCACTCTGAATACTTTAGCCGCATCTGCTGACTCCTTTAATTAGAACCCCCATGGCTCGGCTGGCGTCGGAAGCTGAGCATGACAGCCTGGGGGTTGTTAACGGTTGTTATGGGGTTGTTGAAAAAGCAGGCTCCTTTTTGGTCTACACCTACATGTACAGAGGCTTTTGTGGACACCACATAAACTGACCACATCGGACCAAGTGAAGAGACCAAAAGGCACGTTATGCCAGGCCACTAGAGGATAAGCGCGCCTGGCCCGCCCTGGGGCCTCAGCCAGATCAAGGCAGGAAGGGAGCAGCCGCAGGGTGTTCGTCTGTGAGCTTTGAAAAGAATGGAGAAGCTTCCTGGCGGGTCGAAAAGTGTCAATTCCGCCAGGTGGTCAAGACTACGAGGCCTGCATGTCAGCATGTACAGTTTTGGATATGCATGCCTCACAGAGGACTCATGGATGATCACGGAAGTCTTTTCCAGATTTGACCATTCACTTTCTCTCCCGCAGCCTCTGCAGCCTGGCTCAACATGGGCATCCAGGGGCTCCTGAAGGCCCTGGAAGACGTGCAGCGCGACTGCCACGTCAAGGCCCCTGAAAGCTGTGGCCGTGTGAGCGGCGTAGCGGAGCAAGCGGAGCCAGCGGAGCATCCTGTGTGGTTCGTTTTGGTTTTTGTTTTTTTCGTTGGGTGCTGTCCCGACGATACTGGCAGACGGCGGTGGGGGGGTTGAGCCGGTCGGATCCCCCAAGTGCTACTACAAGTTTCTGAAGAGCCTCCGTCCTTCCCTTTCCCCTTAACGGCGCGTTTCATTCAACGGGTGGGCAGCGGAATCGTTGTTCCATGCATGAGGCATCGTCATGAAACAACATCACGCTCCGAAGCCTCCGAAGCATAACCAGGCTTCAGGCCCTACCAGTATGCGAAGAAAACTCACCAGGCTCCAGGTGAAGTGAAGGGCTTAAGGCTTAAGAGCTTCAGGTGCTTCAGTCGTTTTGCGAGCATGGCCCGGCCGTGTGAGGAGTTTGCGGGGAAGAGGGCAGCCATCGATGCCCATGGCTGGCTTCATGCTGCTTTGGCAGGAAGTCATCCCACCACAGTTTACGGTGTGGTTTGGCAGATTTTGGCAGCGCTCATGTTGTCTCAGCTGGGCCAGCAGCCAGGTGCTGTAGATGTTGAGCTGGAGGTTGACAACCAGGTTCATGTTCGCTACTGTGCGAAGCGCATCTCGATGCTGCCACTCTGGCAGCATGGGGCCATCACCAGACTTGAGAAGGCGTTGTGAAGACAAGCGTGTGCAGCCTGCTTCAAGGCGAAAGTTTGGCGTAGAACCGGTCTTTGTCTTCGATGGGGCGGCCCTGCCAGTGGTGTGCTGAGCTTGGTGAAGTCTGGCATCATGCATTGGACACGTCTGTCGCTGAGGCAAAGACAGCGCTGCTGCAAGAGCGACGCCAGCGAAGAGAACTCATGCGCAGGGAAGGCGGCGGAGAGTGCCAGGATGTCAGCAAGCGAAGCTTCAGGATATCAAGCTTTGTTATAGCGTCTCACAGATTGTGCCGCAGCTCTTGCAGACTGATACTTGCAGCAGCTTGCAGTGAATATGACAGGCGAGCAGCGCCTGGAGGTGGGAGATTTCGCACAGGCGAAATCATGTCTGGCCCAGGCTCGCATGCCACTGTGTGGATGATAGCCGTTGACTTGACTAGGACATGCAATGGCCAAACGGTTGATGTGCTGAGGCTACAGTTCATCCCCCCCTGTGTTTTTGACCTCCCCTGCCATTCTTGCCTTTTTTTGATCCTATCCTGTTTGTCTGACCCGTAGGTTGACCCCCTCCAGTTTTTCTAACCCCCTAAACCTGTTCCACTGACCCCACCATTTTTTCTTTCCCCCCCCTCCCACCTCTCCACCTCCCCCCTCCTCGCAAATGCGTCAAACAAACAACTAGACTGCTTCTTTTCATGCAGTAGATGCCAAGCAAGCGAAAAGCAGACGAAGTCTATCTGCGTAGCAGACGCCCGGTAAGCAAAATACTGCTAATGCCCCAATCAGCAAAACAGTTCCATGCAGCAAACGCCCAACAAGCAAAATCATTTTATCTAGTAGACGCCCCAATGAGCAAATTAATTCCGCCCGGCAGACGCCCCAATCAGCAAAACAGCTCCATGTAGTAGACGCCGTGAGAGGCAAGCCAGTCGGTGTCATCGGTTTCATTGTGCAGAGACCAGCTCACATACTCGAAGTTGCGGAGGCTCTCCGGTAGCACTCCCAATGTAGCGAAATCGCCCAAAATGGCGCCCTGATGAGGTCGAAGCCAGTTCTATCTAGCACACGCCCCACAAGTCAAACATACTCCATTTTGTCCCTTTCTTTGAATCATTAAAGCAATTCAATCTCGTAGATGACACATCAACCCAACAAGTCTATGTCAATGTAGTAAGTCTTATTTACAGATGCCCCAACACCAACAAGCAAACCCATTCTTTGTAGTAGACGCCCCGATCAGCAAAACAATTCTACGTATTAAAAGCTTTCAACGCTTAGGATTAGGAGGGGAAGAGGAGAGGAGGATCAAGGGAAGAGCAGAGAAACCCGAGGATGGGACAAACATTTCAAAAGCTTTCACCTTTTTGCAAGTTCTTGTAAAGTTTCAGTAGTTCAAAAAGTCTAGACGTTTCGGTTCGTTTAGAAAGTGGAAGATGGGGGAAGAGGAAGCGAAGAGGATAGGCTGGAGGAGACGAAGAGGGGAGGGAGAGAATGAGAGGAGGAGGAGGAGGAAGAGGAGGAAACTCTTGAGACTTTGAACTTTTCTTGTCTTGCGAAAGGGAGTGTGTCTTCTGAGAAAGGACTGATAGCATCTGATGCGATCTACGTGTTGCCTTTGTATGAACAAGTCGCGCAAGTCGCACCAGATACTGCCTTCTGTGGCGATTAGCACGAAGTCGTGACTCGTTCAGAGCCTGAAAGAAGTCACTGCTCCGTCCCTCCCCGGCCGCAAATACGTCAAATTAGAACCTGGTTTTACGCATGAGCCCAATTCTGTGAACAAAAACTTATAGCAATGTGCAAAAGCCTCTGACTGAATGCGACATGATAGAGCCTTCCACGCGTATAAAGTCCAAGTCCAACCCAACTCAAAGGCCCGTGGCCCGACGGGCTTAGGGGAGTCAAAGAGACATGCAAAGTAGACAGCCCAGCCCGGCGCAAGGGAGTTTGAAACGTACATACGTTCTCTGCCAGGCGGTGGAAATCAAGGATCACCAAATCGATGAGCCTCAGTTGCAAATCCAGTTCTTGCGCTCGCTGCTGTGATCGATGTCAGAGCACCGAGTGCAGTGCCAGGACAGCTTCATGCAAGTAGCTCTGGTATTGGCTAGACAGAGCTACACAGCAGGAGCGACAGGCGAAGCAGAAGCACACTTTTTAGTCTTTGCGGTGTCGCTGAGGGTCCGACGGCCCAGACCCTGAAAGCCCCCCCCCCCCCCGCTACCCCCTACAACACTATGGCCTGCCACCGACTGCGAAAACGACATATCATGAATGCGACAAGGATGATGGGGAGGAGGAGGGGGTTAAGGAGGAGGTGAAGAGGAGGAGAGGAGGAGGTGTAAGCACCCGAGTCGAGCCCAGACATCTTGAGTTGTCAGTGTCATGAACACGCAGTGACCATGAGCTGAAGGATGTTGTGCAGTTACTTGCTGCTGAAGAGGTTCGGCAACTTGGCAGCACTGGGATGCCGGCTCCGCAGTTGCGCGCATTTGTGCTTTTGGCCCTTCACGGACAGCAGGTATATCCATGCGCCGTTCGAAGCAGATGCTCAAATGGTGTATTTGGCATGGCATGGTTATGTCGACTTCTGCATCTCCGAAGATAGTGATCTCCTCGCTCTTGGATGTCCCCAAGTCCTGTACAAACTTCGTGGAGACGGGCATGGCAAAGAAGTTCTGCTGGAGGATGCCTTGAATGGCAGGAGCTTGGAAGACTTCCAGGCAATCTGCGTCTTGATGGGCGACTCGGCTGCTCTCGGCTACGGTCCGAGTGTAAATGCTACTCTGCCAGTCTAAGGGAAAGCATTTAACGCCCCCCCAAAATAGGGCAGGGTTTGTTGAGGATGCCGGGCACTGCAGTGCACTGTGTGTTCACATGCGAGATCGCATTCTCCTGGAGCTGAGAGCTGAGGCTGTGACTACTTGCCACGTCTCCACGGGGTGGGCCCAGCATTGGCGCTCAAAGCGGTGTCGGCGCGGGGTTGTGAGGCGGAGGCCGTGGTCAGAGAGACTTGGCATGACTTGGGGCATTTCGCTGTGCTTCGTGAATCTTCGTGAGGTCTTTTTAAGGTGTTGGCAGTACGTTGGGTTTGGATTCCGCCACTGGTATGAACATGTACTGTGCTTTTGAAAGAGCTGCAAACCACTCGGCCAAGCACCCTAACGGGCCCTAACGAGCTGCAGTCAAGTTTGATATAAGTTTGATCCTTGCCAAAGAGGAGCACCTCCGTCAGCTTAGGAGTTGCGAGCTCTTGGGATCTCCGTGCCTTCTGAGTACGCAGAGCATTTCCGATTGGCAAGCATGGTTCTGCAGCGACAGCCAGTTTACGAGCCTCGCAGCGGGCGGCAGATTCCACTGCAGCACCAGGCGTCTGGGGTCGTAGGACATCGTAGGACATCGTAGGACGTCGTCCCACGTCAAACATCCTCAGGACGAAGGAGTCCTCCCAACCGGAACACCACAGCAGCTTGAAGTGTACAGAGCATTTTGGCAGGAGTCACAACCGACTCCTCCTGGCCAGCATGATGGTGACTCGGATGCACGGAGCCCTACTGCCCCAGCAACCCGTGATTCGAGCGTGTGACCTAGGCAAGCACCTGAAGGTGGGGGACGGGTGCATCGCCCTCACCGAGCAACGTCCAGTTCATTGCCTAGTGGCCAGCGCAAAGAAGATGGCACCATGTGAGGCAGCAGTGTGCATGCGACGTAGATTACTTCACACATCTACCCCCGGCAGGTCGCGCAGTAGAATGCGCCCGAAAAACCTCACAAGACCCTTCTCGAGGACATGCCCCTCACAAATCAGAGTGAAGGTGGTACTAGTAGCATGTGTATGGTAGGAAGGCGCTATATATGGGAGTACTTCTTACAGCACAACACAAGCAATCTCCCCGCGCTTCAGGGACGGAGACGGAGCCGGAGCCGGACCCCTCGGAGACAAGGCCAGGGTCCATTGAGCCCTATAAAATGTCAAAGTCCCATCAACTCACGTCTTACAGGAGACTTCTATAAACCCAATACCGTTTAGAAGAGGCTTGTGTAAACACCAATACCTACCCACCTGTAACTAACAGCCCTGCAGCGGCGGAAGCCACCTTTTGTGCTGTCAGGACACGACCCTGCTGTGGTGAAGGGCAGGGATCTTGCCTTGAGAGAGCCGAGCTGCGGGCCGCAAGGCACGGGGGGGTTTCTTCTCTCAGAGAAAGCACACATAAAGCACAGAGCACTCCAGGTGGCGAATGTGGCGGTCCACGGAGCGTCTTTGTGAGCGACTCCTTCGAGCAAGCCAGGCACCCATGCGTAGCCCGTTTCAGGAGGTTGAGGCGAGAATATCGGAGAGTTCGGTGGATTCATATGGCCTTCTCATACTCACGCATTCTCGTTTACAGCATACTCAAAGACCGGAGCCCAAGCCTTGGCTCAGGTTGAATCCGCAGGGTGCCATGACCCTGCAGGAGTTCATCCGCCGGGAGAGCAGGAGCGCAGCACCAGTGCAGGGCATCTCCTGTGCAGCTCGACTCCACGAGAAAGGGTTCGAAGATCTTCGAAGATGTGGGGGTTTCCGCAAATGTGGGAGGGGGGGGGCTGCCCTGCGGAGGTGGGTTCATGTTCGTATTTTGGGGTATATCAGAGGTACCCCTTTTTTGGACAATATCCTTCTCCTACAATTGGGAAGGGTCGTTCGTTTGTGCAGCTGGGACGGAGGCTGACGGAGACCTGGGAGATGCAAGTCTCGCAAGTCCAGCCTCGTCAAGAACGTCCCGATTCTTTGGGCGGTGCAACAGTGCCAGCCTGTGGTCGGACTAGCTGCCCTGGGGGGCATTGAAGGTTTGGAGCTGAGAGGGAACTTTTGAATACCATCACTTATCGTTGCTGCATCTGCAGTCAGATCTTCTGATCAGATGGGTGCCGTCCAACTTTGCTGCACCAAATGCTGCAACATCCCGTGCAGTGAATGCATTGTGCCGAACGCATGAGAGGGTGACGAGGGTGTTTTGCAGTCATCCCGAGCTCCGGTCTGGAGACGTGTGCGCGGAAAAGAGGCAAAGCGAGAGCCTCATGGCACATGCTGCATGCTACGTAGCGTCACGAGCCTTGGAACAGCCTCCGGCAGCCTTCAGGATACCGCTGTGCCTTCTTCTGCAAGCAGGCAGGGCCCAACGACTTTCACACGTGCCCTTCAAGTTCAGCTGAGCACTTGCCAGATCATGTCAGGCCGCAGCGGGAACCGGACCGCTTGGGGCCCAGCCCATGATGTTCCAACGAGATTCCAACACCTTCCATGACATTGTCAACTTTTTGTAGCCGTCGGTCGAGTGTTAGGATGGGACCACCGTCCCGTCGATGAGGAAGCCAGCATCCAAGCGCGATTTTTGTCCCAGCGTTTGCCAAAGCACGCGAGCTCAAGGCCTGGAGTGGTGGAAAGAAAGGCCGGCGCATCGGGAGTTAACGTGCGGCAACGTGCGGCAACATGCGGCCACATGTGGCCAAGTGGACGGCTGAGTGGATGTCACGGGTCACATGACATTGCTGCGAAGGCCGCAGCGAGTGGTCCTGGAAAGGAGGGAAGGGGAACGGCAAAGGACGTGGCAGGCTGATGCTCGCCAAGAGTGACGTGTGGGACCATTTGGCACCATGCATGGCCCTACATCCTGCAAGAAGCCAGTGAATTGTCAAGCTGCTTGCAGTGAAATCTGTCCTGACAGGCGGCGAAAAGGAGAAGGCAAATGGGTTCCTGTCCCAGACAAGTCGTAGTTGACTGCGTCCCCTCATGCTGCCATGCAAGAAACACATATCAACCATGCACTGGTATTCACCTTTCGCTTCTTATTCTTGCGCACTTCTGCCTGTGTTGAAAAAGGCACAATGCTCAAACATTGCTTGCACATACTCAGTGCAAGCAACTCCCCGCTTTGTTTGCCTTTTGCCTGGGCCACATCATGAGGCCCCAAAGGGAGCAAGAGATGCGCCTGAAGAAGGCAGCGGGAGCAGCCAATTGATGGCAGTAAAAACCCTCATGCCAACGAGTTCCTCACGTTTGCCGTGTGGTTGCCAGCACTGCCTCCAGGTTGGGAGGGTGGCTGGGATGAAGGCCCGAAAGCAGCAGGGCACAGCTGGTGTCCATTTTTGAGCACTGGTGCGATGGGTTTCATGATCCATGGATGACTTATTTTTGTTGCGGAGGCTCCGACGGAAAAGCTGGAGACCCAGTCCTGGATCTGCGAAGTTCTGGGCAGAGTGTGGAAAGTGCTGTGCCCCAGGCCAGAGACTCCTCCCGTCATGGACAGGCCTTGAGACTTTCTTCTAGATCTTCTAGTGGCCCCGCAAGCCCACTTTGGTGCACCTTGTTCAGGAGTCCGGCATCATGGCCTCAGAGCTGTTGGGCAAGTGGTTGGATGGCCAGGAGCCGGCTCTTCCCAGTTCCAAGTTCCAGTGTGCTCGGCAGCTGCGGCACAGAGCGCCAGTCAGGACAACGAGGTCCTCGTGCAGTCTGGTGGGTGGCCTACCGGATCGCACCTGCTCACGCCGGAGATCGCCGCAGTGAAGTTTCTCATAGTTTCTCACAAGGCCCCGAGCGTTCCCGGCCCCTGACTGCCCGTTTGGCTCGTCGAGGAGGCCGTGAACAGGCCTGGCCAGCAGCAAGGAGTATAAGGAGTAGGGATGCGCAGCGTGATGCCCCCTCAAGTGCAGGTGCTATCTTTGCGACGGGACCTTGAATCAGGTTGCTGGGCATGTGGGAATGCTGTGGGGGACTCAAGGCCCAGGGCCCAAGGCATGCGAGGGCCTACGTTACGAAGAGGTGCGTTGCTGTGTTTTGAGTTGTTTCTGCGTGTCTTGGCAGAGTCAGGTCTTGGACAAAGCTGCCTCCACGACGAATGTCCTTGTCTGGCGCGTGGCTCATTGTTACAGATTTACGGACTTTTTGCCTAAGGCTGGTGCTTCATGTTGCTCGTCTCGACCTGTGCTTCCGAGGAACGCGTACGATGGACGCCGGAGCGTTTGGCGCAGGAAAGAGGCCAGCCGCGGCCCCCCTATGCCAGCGCCGCAAAGGGTCTAGACTAGTCTCGACGCTGAAGCAAGCTTATGCTTGCTTATGCCAGCTTCTGCATTGCAGATCATGGCACGTCATGGACCTGGTGCTTCTGCACGTGGTGCGCTTGCCCTTGGTGTGCCTTGAACAGGCTTCCGAAGAAGCCGAGCCCGAGGACTTGCTCCCGCGCAGACCACAGCTGACCGCAGCTGACCGCAGCCGACCGCAGCTTCGGCAGGCCCCCCACCATTCCGCAGTTTTCCGACGGTTTCTCAGGTGGCTGCTGAAGTCGGCAGCTTTGATGGGCGTCGTGCATGCAAGTTCCCGTGAAGGCAGGATTCGGAACCGGAACATGTCAGATTCCCGCGATTTCCCATGTGTCGAGGCTCCAAAGTGGAGGAGCAACAGCCGCAGGTGTCCAGTGCAATGTGTGTTATATGACAGACATTCAAACTGACACTGTGTCCATCTCCTTCTGCTTGTTCCTGCACCACGGTAGAAAGTTTGTTGATCAACCTAGCCTTGAATGAAGTGGTTTTCGGTTTGAGTATGGCTCCATACGCTCGGTTCGGCTCGCCGTTCGTCGGTTCCTTTGGCTGGAGCGTATCGCGCACAGTGTGTTGGCGACGGCGGGGACGGGCCCCTCAGCATGGGAGGTCGGTTTTTATCCTGTGGTTGACGATGGCATTTCCGTGAGTTTCGTTTTGTGTTGTACTCCACTAGTCTCCAATCTGCCCCACCCCACTCCATTCCACCCCACCCCACCCCACCCCACCCCACCCCACTCTGCTCCACTCCACTCCACTCCACTCATCATGCCCCGCGGACGCTATGCTCCACAGACTCTCCATGAGTTGGAGGCCAAAGCTGCCAACGGCCGAGTTGCAGAAGGAGGCTCTTGCTCACTATTACTCACATGGCAGTGATTCGCAGTGCAAGAGGCCCTTGTGCCAGGCTTTGCGCCGCCTAAGCGTCGACAGCGGAACTGGAGTTGGGAGCTCCGGAAAGCTCCGCTGCAAGGGCCCAGCAGGTTGTGGAAGCCAGGGCAGAGTTGAGCGGTACAACTCTCCAAGGTTCGATCTCCATGGACAGTGACATCGCTGGAGTCAGGAATCCCAGCAGCGAAGAAGCTCGACAGTTATCTCATGTCATGCAGTTGCTGGCGTATGATATCGTGGGACCCAGTGCCGTTGCATCCTTCAGGTTTTCGTTGGAACGCCAGATGTGGAGGACGCTGCAAGCCACCGAAACACCATGTATTCAACAAAGCGTGCACGCCTCTGCACCTCCCTGTTCTCCCTCATGCTCTCCTGCTCTCCCTAATGTTCTCCTAGACTCCCCGGACCCCTCACGAGGGGCAGGGAGTGGCGCCCCGAAATGACTGGCAACCTGCAAGCGCCAACGGGGTCAGACACAGCCGGCTATAGATGCAAGCGAGAGCACAGGCACACGCTCATATAAGAGAACCGAAGCACGTAAGAGGAACGCAACCACAATCGCAAAGATATAGCAAGTGAATCAAAGAAGAGACGGAGGCAAAAGGACAAGAAGAATGAGGATCTCCGTACTGCAACACATGGGAAGCGAAATGTCTCGCCCGAGTCGGTCAACGATCAGAAGTGCGCAAACACTGGTGCATGTTATCTGCAGGTGCAGACCGCTTTCCTTCCTCTCATGTCATGCACTTACAAGTACCAGCGGAACTGCAGTGCATGAGGACATCAAGGGTGGGGAAGAAGGCCGGCTGTTCGTTCGGGATTTCCGAACTGCATCAAGTGACACATCAGCTGTTTCAGGCCCAGCGGTTCATGAGCCCAGCATCCCGTCTGCTTTGTCATCAAGTTACATGTTCCTTCATCTGCGAAGGAAGTGCAAGGGTGAGCGACCAGGAAACGCAGACGACTCGGTTTGCTTCACTTGTGTGAGAGAAAAAAAACTTTGTGCATAAACCGGGGCTGCCTCAACGAGGCACTCTTCAACACAATGCCTGGGATTGTTGTTGTCGTTAATCCATAAGCGGCTCTGAATTCCGTGAGGCGTACTAGAACGCCCAGGGTCGAGCAATATCTGCAGCTCAGGCATCAGGACCGGCCAGGGGCAGAGAGCAACTCGGTTGAGGAAACTGCACGACTTCCGGCGCTCGGCCTCAGTTCCCGCTTTGCATGCCAGATAGTTTTTTCTGGTATTCTTTGGATGTATCTGAGCGGATCTCCCCCTGACACGTTGCCAAACTCTAACAACACCTTTAGGGCCTTTTAGGGCTAAGCGACCCGCCTCGGCCGGGGCCTGCCCAGCGGCGAGGCAACCCAAACTTGAGATCGCAGGGTGCTTCGTGCAATCGTTTTTTGCGGGGCTTCTGGCAGTAGGCGGATGCGGGAGGAAGCGCAACGGGTCCGGGGGTGAGCCCCTGGTCCTGATGGCTAGGAAGGCCAAATCAAATAAAGGGCCACATCTGGGCACGGGAAGGATGGAAGGGTTACACCACCCAAACACCTACGGCCGGATGAGTGCGCCCACGGAGTAGGGTAGGACCGGGAAGGCTCAAGACAGAAACTGAATGTCAGCCTCCGATAATCTTGACTTTTACTGGAGACCCAGTACCCCTACAATCACGACATTGTGAACTCTTCCGAAATATGAGGCTTTATTCAGGGAACCCCCTACTCAACTCAGGAAGATGCATTCGTGCAGGGGCTCAGCCCAGCTCGGCCGGCCGAGGCAGTTTTCGACACTGACAATGCTGCTGCTGATGCGGCCAGGGTGCTGACCCTGGAAG